CGTCTTCTCGACGTCGTCGCGTCGCGCGCGTCGTCGTAACGAGCGGCGTCGTCGTCGTCGTCGTCGTCGCGCGTCCCCTGTGCCTCGCGCGACGCCGCCGCGGCGTCGCCGTCGGGGCGGTCGTCGTCGTCGAGCCGGCGCCGACGCCGCGATCGAAAGGTCGAGCTCGTCGTCCGTCGCGGGCAGTTCAAGAACTTGGACGAGCGCCCGCCGTGGCCGATAACGATCGAGGCGGACGTGCACTCGCTGGGGATGGACGAGCACGACGAGCTGAACCCGCCGCGGCGACGGCGACGGCGCGGCGGCGGCGGCGCGAGAAGATCGACGGACGACGACGACGACGACGACGACGACGACGACGCGACGGAGGAGACGGGCGCGACGTTCCGCGCCACCGTCGCGCCCGTCGGTCACGGCTTCTTCATCGACGGCTCCGTCGACGCCGTCATCGCGGTCGCGTGCGAGGTGTGCGGCGCGCCGACGATGCAGCGCGTCGAGGGCGTCGACGTCAAGGCGTGGCTCGACGAGAACGCGAACGAGCTCGACTCGAGCGGCGAGACGGAGGTGATCCCGTTCCCGCGGCACCGCGAAGAGTGCGACCTGACGGGGTTGATACGCGACGTCGTGCGGATGAGAGCGCCGTACGAGAACGTGTGCGAGGCGTGCGAGAGGGACGGGTCGACGATGGGGGGGGGGTGGGGGGGCGGGGGTGAAGAAGGGGAAGCGTTCTCGTTCAAGCTCGAGCCCGAGGATCGATGACGTACGCGTACCGTGAGCCGCGACGGACGACGCTCGGAGTAAAATACATACAGTATGTTATGCGGTGCTACGGTACCGCGGTGGTGTACACGTACCGACCTCTCTTCGCCTCACTTCGGACTTATCACGCCCACGCCGTAGTACAAGTCGAACCCGAGCTCTTCTTCCTTGGACGTCGACTTCCTCCGCGACTCCCCCGCCAGCCGCGTCCCCGCGACGAGGTCCGCGAGGTCCTCGAAGGGGCCCGCCCGGGACCCGTCGATCCCTCGCCCCCCATCGCGGCGCGCGACCCCCGCGTCGTCGCTCGGCGACGGCGGCGACCGTCGATGTCGATCGACCCCGCCGCCGGGCGCGCGTCGCCGCGCCGTCGTCAGCGCGACGACGCCGGCGGCGACAGGCGAACGCGTCGGCGACGTCGGCGCTCCGTTCGCGACGGACGCGAGAAGCTCGCGCATTTGCCTCTCCCCGTCCCGTCGTGAAGTCCGCGGCGATCCGTTCGTCGGCGCGACCGCGAACGCGCCGGCGCCGCCCCCCCCAGGCTGAGGAGAGAACCCTCCGCGCGGGTTCCCGTGTTGTCGCCCCAACCGGGGGCTCTCCGGCGCCGCGCGCGCTCTGCCGCCGCTCGGGCTCCGCCCGCCCCCGCGCGGGCTCGGGCTCGCGCTCGGGCTCCCGCCCGCGCCCGCGTCGCCGCCGTCGACGTCGAGGACGTACGTGTGCCCGGGCGCGGCGTACCCGGAGGAGCTGCGCGGTTTGACCGCCGTCGACGGCGGCGAACGATGATGACGCGTCTGTTTCCGCGGCGTCGTCGTCGTCGTCGTCGTCGGCGGCGGCTTGGTCGGTCTCGTCGGCGACGCCGCCTTCGGTCTCGGCGTCGCGGCGTCCGTCGTCGTCGTCGCCTCGGGCGCGGGCGCGGGCTCCGGCGCGGGCTCCGGCGCGGGCGCGGGAGGCGGCGCGGTCGATTCGGTCGTCGCCTCCGCGTCTGCTTCGTCCGCGCGCGTCGCGTCGCGCGCGGGAATCGCGTCCGAGCCCTCCTCCTCCTCCTCCAATGCCTCCTTCTCCTCCTCCGCGGGCGCGGGCGTCGCGGCCTCAGGTTTCGGCGCGTCCTCCTCGCGCTCGATCGGTGCGGCCGCCGCCGACGTCGTCGCCGCGTCCCCGTCGTCCGCCGCGGGTCCTGGTCCCTCCCCCTCCGGCGGGGTGGGATTCGACGGAGGGGTTTTCGTTCCCTCGCCCTCGCCCTCGCGCTCGGACGCCGCCTCGACCGCCTCGGGGACGACCGCCTCGGGCGCGACCGCCTCGGGGACGACCGCCTCGGGGACGACCGCCTCGGGGACGGGCTCGCTCATGATGCCCGCGTCGCGCGCGCGGCGTTCTCGACGTCCGACGAACCGGAGGCCCCAAACAATGTGGCGGCCTGTGGTCACAATAATTGGGATGCCGTCCGGGGTCGGCAGAGCAGCATAATATCGAATATTGCGCATGAGCATTTGGTCAGCAAAATATTGCAAAAAAGTATTCTCCCGAGCCCTTAAACCCGCACCCTTGACCCGCACACCCTGTCATTCGGCTGTTCGCGCGGAAATGTAAATGCAAATTTGCTTTTACGACAGCACGGTGGTTGGGCTGTTGAAGACACAAACGCGCGCGCGCGCTGACGCGCGCGCGTGCGACGAGACCTCTCCACCGCGCGCATGACCGAACGCTCGCTTCGCGCGCGCGAGCGCGGCGGCGTTCTAGGAGACGCGGTGCGCGATTCCCACCCCTTCCTCCCCCTCGAGGCGTCTCTCCGTTTCGGGATGTTCGTTCGCGCTCTCATTCATCGTCTTCCCCCCGCTGACGCCGCCCCGTCTCGCGCTCCGCAGGCGTCGACGTCGTCGCGCGCGCGTCGCGACGCAACGCATCGCGCGACGCCGCGCGGCGCGACGTCGTCCGCGAGCGCGAGAGACCCGACCAACGCGTTCGCGCGCTTCGCGGAGTCGCTCGGGGGGAAACTCCGACGCGCGCTCGCGCCCGCGGTCGTCGCGTCTCGGAAGACGCGACGACGATCTGCCGCCTCGAGGTCGCGCGGCGGCGACGGCGACGGCGCGGCGACACGCGCGCGCGCGCCGCGACCGCCTTCCTCCGAGGACGCGGCGACGCGGACGCACATCGCGCGCGGCGCGTCCTATCGCCCGACGGCTTCGAGCGCGTACCCGCCCGACGACGCGATGGCGACGCGACGTCGGACCTGGACGCGCGTCGGACGCGACGTCTCGGCGTCGACGACGGCGTCGACGACGACGACGACGACGACGACGACGACGCCGACGCGCGAAACGGCGCGGTTCCCGCCGAAGCCGCCGCAGGTCGTGACCGCGCGCGACCTGAGCGAGAGCGACGAGGCCGCGGTGTCGCGCGCGCGGCGCGCCAACCACGCCGTCCTCGGCGGCGTCGCGCTCGCGGCGGTCGTCGTCCTCCTCGCGAAGAGGAGGAAGAATGATGCGAAGCGACGAGACGACGACGACGACGACGACGCGGACGCCGCCGCGGCGAAACTCGCGTCGGAGCAGCCGCGCGCGCTCGACGTCGACGGCGCCGCGACGCCCCCGCGCGGCGCGAAGATGACCGACTCCGCCAAGGTCACGCCCGCGAGCGGCGTCGACGCGGCGGCGGCGCCGCGCCCGCCCGCGCGGCGCGCGAAGAAAAATCTCTTTCCGACTCGGTCCGCCGCGACCGCCAACGCGTCGTCCGAGGTCGAGCCGTACGAGTCGCCCGCGCGCGACGACGCGGACGCGATGATGACCGAGGTGGTGACGCGCGCGGAGAGAGGAGAAGCGGAAGTGATCGGCGACGGTTCGAATCTCGCGACGATTGACGTTCTCGCGTCGCCGCCGCGGTCGCCGTCGTCCGACGCCATCGCCGCCGTCGTCTCCGCGAAACGCGTCCTCTCGAGAGCGAAAGCGTCGCGGCGGCTGCGACAGCCCGGCGAGCTCCGCGTCAACGTCCTCGGATGCCGCGTCGCGGACTTCATCGCGCGCCGAGCGTCGCTGGACGCGAGAGAAGAAGCCGAGGAGCGGTGGAGGGACGACGCGGACGCGTTGAGAGACGCCGACGTCGCCGCGAGATTCGCGCTGAAGATCGAGTGCGACGCGCTCGGCGACGGCGAGCGGATCGTCCGCGGGACCACGCGGACGAAGTACCTGGACTACCACGACGAGAAGCCCGGGTCGGCGGCGTCCATCGCGGCGGGGAAGAACACGGTGACGTTCAATCAAGGGATGACGTTCGCGCTCCCCGCGGATGAGAAGAGAGGGGGATCTCTGCGTTTGAAACTCGCGTCGGGGTGCGCGGAGCACGCGAAAGCGCGCGACGACGACGACAACCTCCGGGCCCCTCGCGGGTCGACGTCGAGGAAGACGCTGTGCATGTCCGGGCTGGTCGTCCGCGAGGTGCTCAGGGCGGCGCCGGTGACGAAGGAGTTCGCGTTGTACGATGTGGATGGGAAAGAAGCCGGGCACGCGCTGTTGTCGTTCGAGTGGAGGCACGCGCCGTTCGAGGCGTCGGAAGCGGACGCGACCGCGGCCGCGTAGAGGAGACGACGACGAGTACATGCAGTAGTCGAATAGGATCCACGACGCGTGCGATGCCGAGGAAAGGAAGAAGAAAAAGAATACTCAGTGAAAACGACTCGCGGGAATGATCCGTATATCGTTCACGTCGCGACCGCGCGCGTCACCGACGCTGCTTCTGCTCTCGCGGGAAGTGGCTCGTGATGCGCATCGCCTCCGCGCGCCTCACGCTCGTGCGCAGGCGGATCCGCATCGCCGCCACCTGCGCACGGAGCAGTCCGTCCACGCTCTGCATCTGCGCCGCCGCCGCCCACGCGACGTCGGGGGGGAGCTCCGGAGGGCCCGCGACGCGCGACGAACCCGCGAGCCCGAGCCCGAGCCCGAATCCGGACCCGCCTCCGCCTCCGCCGTGGCCGTCGTCGCCCCACGCGGTCGCCTCGTCGTCGACGTCGACGCCGCCGTGCCCGCCTCGAGGCTCGCCGTTCCCGCTCCCCGGGTACTCGCCGCGCCCGGAGAGATACTTCGCCCACCCCTTCTCGCGCTCCCTCTCGCGCCGTCGGGTTTCGGCGTCGTCCGACGGCGGCGGCTCGCGGACGGGCAGCCGCAACGACGCCAACGACGGCGTCGTCGTCGTCGTCTCTCTTTGTTTCTCCTCGCCTCCGTCTCCTGCGCCGCCGCCGCCCATGACTCCCGCCCGGGGCGCGTACGCGAACGGCTTCATCCCCGCCGCGCCGCCGCCGCCCTCCCCTCCCATCCCCGCGCGTCGCATGAGCGACGCCAACAAGCTCGCGGCGTCCTCCGACGGCGGCTCCCCCGCGCGCATCGCGCGGACGCTCTCGAGCAGCGTCCGCGCGTCGCGCTCGTCCTCCGCGCTGTTCCCCAGCCGCCGCTGTCGTCGTCGTTCCCCCTCTCGTCGCTCGTCGTCGCGGCGTCGTCTCGCGGCGGCGCGCTCGGGCTCTCGCGCGCGACGCGGGGACGCGTCGGGCGAAAGCGCGCTGAGCGCTATTTGATTCCCGCGGTCGTCCCTCCTCGGCGACGGCGACGGCGCGCCCTCGGTCGGGACCTCGGACGCGGCGACGGAGACGTTCATCGGCGAGGATGCTCGGTAACCGCCGTCGTCGGACGCGACCTCGGACGACGCGGAGGAGACGGACCTCCCGTCGTCGTCGTCGTCGTCGTAGATGCTCAGCCGCGCGCCGCCTCCCTCGGCGGGGGACCCCGACCGCGACCTCGCCAGCCGCGCGCGGAGGGTCGCGACGGGGTCGTTCGCGGACAGCATCGCGTGCAGAGCCTCCGTCGCGTCCTCCGCGTCGTCCTTCGCGGGGGACGGCGACGCGGGTCTCTCCTCCGACGCCTTCGCTCTCTCCGCGCGCATCGCGCTGAGCGGGTCGTTCCGCGAGAGCATCGCGTGCAACGCCTCCGTCGCGTCGCCGGCGTCCATGCTCTCTTCGCGACCGTGTCGAGCCGCCGCGGGGGGGCCGCCGCGGGGGGTCTCTTCGCGGAGGCTTCCCCCGGACGACCGTCGCGAACGACGCGAGTCTCGCGAGCGTTCCGCGTCGTCGTCGTCGTCGTCGTCGTCGTCGTCGTCGTCGCTAACGCGCTCGAACGACTCGTTCTCGTACGCCACCGAGTCGCCGCGCGCGTCGAATCCGCCGTCGACGGAATCGGACTCGAACGCGCCCGCCCACGGCGCCGCCGTCGCGGCGGTGGCGGCGGCGCGCGGCGGCGACGCCGATCGCACGAAGTCGGCTCTCGGCGCGCTCCTCGGGCGTCCCTTCGCGCTCGCCGGCCTCGCGCCGCCCGCCGCGGTGCCCGGTCGGCGCGTCGCCGCCGGCGCCGCCGGCGCCGCCGGAGCGCTCGCGGGGAAGGCGTCCGCGTCGTGGAACGCGATGGACGGAGGGTCGTCGTCGTCGTCGTCCGCGAAGGAGGCGAAGGACCGCGAGAACTCGAACGAGTCCGCGCGGTCGTCGTCCGAGAGGCGCGGCGGCGGCGGCGGCCCCGTCCCCGTCCCCGTCCCCGTCCCCGTCCCCGCGCCGCCGCCGCGCGACGACCCCGGCCGCGCGGTCTGCGGTCGCGACGTGTTCACGACGCCGGCGTCGCCGTCGTAGAAGTCGATGGACGCGTCCGTGCTGTCGTCGTCGTCCACGACGAACGACCCGTCGTCCGACGCGAAAACGCCGTCGTCGTCGCGACCGCTGCGATCGCGCGGGCTTGGGCTGTGATCGAACGAGATCTCGACGCCGTCGTCGAGGCTGCCGTCGAGGCTGTCGTCGACGGAGAAGCGGTTCATCGCGACGCGCGTCGTCGCGGGCGGCGGCGCCGCGGCGCGGCGGCCGCCCGCGGTGGACGGCCGCGCGCCGCCGGACGACGGACGCGACGCGGTCCCGGGTCGAGCGGAGTATCGCGCGAGCAATTCGTCCGCGGCGGCGAGCGCTTCGTCGTCCGCGGGTCGACCGCCGCCGCCGCCGCCGCCGCCGCGCGCGGCGGACGTCGGCCGCGCGCCGACGCCGCCGCCGCCCGAGAGCCCGTACGGGTTCAGAGGGTTGTACCCGGCCATCGAGCGCGCGCGTCGGACGGGGCGCGCGAGTGGTGAGTGCGAACGCTTTAGCCACAAACGGTCGTTTTTCGCTTTTCGGTGGCTTTTTCGGTGCCGTTTCGTCGCGCGGCGGTCGGCCGACACAGCCCGGTGTCGGAGTTCGCCCGCCGTGACGTCGACATTCAGAGATCGCCCGCGCGCGTCCTCGCCCCCGCCCGCGCGCGCCTCCTCGCCCCCCCCCTCCCCGCTCGACCGTCATGGTCGAAGGCCACGGCGTGCACAGAGTCGCGCAAGCGCACAGGCGCGCGCTCGTCGGAAAGAAGTTCAAGGCGTCGTCCCCGAACGGGCGATTCGTCGACGGCGCGCGCGCGATCGACGACAAGGCGCTCGCGCGCGTCGAGGCGATCGGCAAGAATCTCTTCTACTTCTTCGACCGCGGAGAAGGAGGAAGAGGAGGAGGATCCGAGAGGCACGGTCATCACGTGATGCACGTGCACTTCGGCATGAGCGGCCGCTTCAGCGTGCACGCGGCGTCGGACCCGCCCGCGGCGACGCCGACGACGCGCCTCAAGCTCGAGGGCCACGGCCGCGTCGCGATGCTCAGCGCGATGGTCGTCGACCTCATGGACGAGTCGGGGTTCGAGGCGAAGCGCGTCGCGCTCGGGCAAGACCCGCTGCGCGAGGACGCGTGCGCGGATACGCTGTGGGAGAAGTTCACGGCGTCGCGCAAGTCCGTCGGGCTCGCGTTGATGGACCAGTCGATGTTCGCGGGCGTGGGGAACATCTACCGCGCGGAGATCCTCTTCAAGGCTGGCGTGCATCCGGAGCAACCGTGCCGCGACCTCGACCGCGGCGTGTTCGATTCGCTCTGGCGGCACTCGGTCGAGCTCCTCCAACGCGGGTACTCCACGGGCAGCATCCTGACCGTGGACCCAGAGGAGGCGCTGGTTTTGGGCGAGCCGTGGACGCGACGGTACGTGTACAACCAGTCGTCGTGCGGGCGGTGCGGCGGGAAGGTGTTGACGTGGGAGATGGCCAACCGGACCGTGTACTGCTGCGGCGGGAGCTGTCAAAAGTTGATCGAATCGAGATCGTCAGGTGCGTTCTATACACTGGTCCCCATACGACCGCGTCGGCGAGGTGGACGCCGATCCTTAAGGACTTTGCCCGGCGCATCTCTCCGCCCACCCCCCGCTTTCAATCCCCGTCCTCGGCGCCTTTCAACTCCAACTGACGCCTTTCAACTCCACCCCGACGTTCGCTCGTATGGAACGGCCCTCAGTCGCGAATCCATCATCCGGAGCCGGAGCGAAGAAGAGGGCCGCGGCGAAGAAGGTCGTTCGCGAGCACGTGCCGTTCGTGTCGCACTGCGCGCCGGACAGCGGCGCGACCGCGGCGTCGGATCCGTCCAAGATGACCGTGAAGGCGCTGAGAGAGATCCTCGCGGCGGGGAGCGACTCAGAGAAGGCCGTCGTCTCGGCTTCGGCGAAAAAGCCGGAGCTCGTCGCCGCCGTCGCCGCGCTCCTCCGCGCGGCGAAGAAGGAGGAGGAAGACGGAACGTCAACCGTCGCGCGGTCGACGCCGACGAAGAACACCAACACCGAGATGCGCGTCAAGGTGGTGGTCGCGAAGACCTCCGAGTCGCCGCGGACGCCGACGCCGGGGACGCGAGGGCTCGCGATGCGAAGTGAGGTGCGTTCTACACACTGGTCCCCATACGACCCCGTCGGCGTGGTGAACGCCATTCCTTAAGGACTTTTCCCGGCGCATCTCTCCGCCCAGCCCTCGCTTTCAATCCCCGCCCTCGACGCCTTTCAACTTCAACTGACGCCTCTGAACTCCACCCCGACTTCGCTTTGTATGGAATGGCCCTGAGGCGGACGCGGTGCGGGACAAGGCGAACGCGGGCGAGAAGAGAAACGTGGAGCACGTCGCGCTGGAGGACGACGCGTCGAGGGCGGTCGTGCGGGGGGAGAGAGAGAGAGTTGTCGCCGCGAAGGGTGGGAAGAAGCGGGGAAGAGCGGGGAAGGCGCTCGCGCCGGTCACCCCGGAGGCGCGCGCGACGCGGCCGCGGCGGACGAAGTGATGATGAGAATGCCGATCTCGTGCAGTGTCAAGCATCTGTGGAAAAGTTCCGCGCGTCATCGTTACTCGTCGCGCGTTTCGCTCGTCGTCACTTCCGCCGCGCGCGCCGCCGCCCACGCAGCCGCAGCGCGGACGGACGCCATGGTCGCGGACAAGAAAGACCTCGCGAACGTCGACGCGGAGAACTTCGGGAGCGAGATGCTCGACTCGTTCAAGATCGACATCTCGCACCAAGAGATGGAGCGCATCATCGTCGAGGCGCGTCGCGTCCGTCGTTCGTTCGTTCGTTCCGATCGATCTTCTTCGCGCCCTCCGTCGAACGTCCTCCTCGTCCGTCCGCGCGCCGTCCTCCCCCGTCCGCTGACATCGCGTCCTCCTCCTCCTCCTCCCGCAGCTCGAGCTCATCTACCGGACGCAGCCGGGGAAGTGGCTTCCCATGCACGTGCGTGACGCGACGCGCCCCGCTCCGCCCCGCCGTCGTCCTCGCTCGCCGGAACCCTAGGTTTCGTTTCCCTCCCTCTCTCTCTGACGTCCGTCCCCCGCCCGCGCGCGTCCACAGGGCATCTGCAACATGCTCGCGGACGAGCTCGGGTACGAGGACGTGGACGAGTTCGAGGACGCGCTCAAGGCGGACTTCAAGACGTTCATCGGCGCGCTGCCGCACATCGAGACGGACAACCAGGAGTCAGGCGCGTTCTATCTCACACTGGTCCCCGTACGACCGCGTCGGCGCGGTGCACGCCGTTCGTTGAGGACTTTACTTCCCGGCGCATCTCTCCGCCCAGGGTCCCTCGGTTTCGATCCCGACACACCTCGACGCCTTTCAACTCCGCTTCTGACGCCTTTCAACTCCACCCCGACGTCGCTTCGTATGGGCGACGACCCTCAGAGCTCCAGCCCGGGCTCTGGCGCGACGTCTTTCGCGTCATCCCCGACCCGCCCGCGGACCAGTGCCGCCCGCAGCGGCTCGTGCTGCAGATCAAGTCCAGGGCGGACCTGTGGCGCGTGCTGATGCTCCATCCGGGCGCGTTCGTGGAGATCCCCGAGCTCGAGTTCGAGATCGGCGCGGATCACAAGCGTCGCGTCGACTCGGTGTACAACCACGTCGGCGCGTCCATCTTCAATTTGGGTGCGTTCTATCTCACACTGGTCCCCGTACGACCCCGTTCGCGTGGTGAACGCCGATCCTTAAGGACTTTTAACCCCGGCGTATCTCTCAGCCCACACCTCGGTTTCAATCCCCGACCCATACGATACCTTTCAACTCCGCTTCTGACGCCTTTCAACTCCACCCCGACGTCGAACCTCAGAGCGTCACGTGGAACAGATCGGCGACGCCGCGGACGACCCCGCGGCGGCGGCGGAGCGCCAGGGGATCCAGGACACGTGCGACGCGCTTCGAAAGGTGTTAGACCTCGAGATCCCGGCGACGTTCATCGTGATCGACCCCGGGGGCCTGAGCGCGTTCAAGCCGGGCGAGGGCGTGGAGGTGACGGAGATGGAGGCGGACGCGGGCGCGTACGACCGAAGCGCGCGCGCCGTCGCCATCACCCGCGCGGCGGAGGCGGAGGGATACGAGGACATCAACGGCGGGGGCGGGGGCGGGGGCGAGCCGGGGGCGCGGGGGGGCGACGGCGACGGCGACGGCGGGGGAGGGGGAGGGATGAACGACATAGACGCGTGACGACGCGAGACGTTCGATGGACGCGAGTGTCCATCGGTAGACCGTTCGCGCGGCTTTTGCTCATCAAGTGAACTGACGCGCGCTCGCTCGCGCTCTGCTCGACACCGCCGGTTGCGGGCGCCACGTGGCCGCGTTCGCGCGTCGTCCATCATATCCGAAAGCGCGCTCGCGTCGCGCGCCGCCGCCGTCCGCTTCCTCTCCCCGTCCCCGCGACCTCGTCGTCGTCGAGATGATGATGACGACGACGACGCGCGCGCCCGCCGCCGCGCGCGCGTCGACCGCGCCGCGCGTCGACCGCGCCGCGCGCGCGTCTTCCGCGTCGGCGCCTCGTCATCATCGCGCGATCGGCGCCGCGCATCGCGCGTCGTCGCGCCGGCGCCCGGGCGGCCCGTCCGTCGTCGCCCTCGCGGCGCTCCCTCGCGGCGCCGCCGCCGCGATGGCGATGGCGATGGCGACGCGCGCCGACGCCGACGCCGCCTCCGCGCGCCCGCGCGACGGCGTCGTCGCGCGCGGCCGCAAGGGGATGCTCGGCCGAGTCATCGACGGCGAGGACGACGAGACGACGTCGAAGAAGAAAAAGGAGAAGCGCGCCGCGGCCGCCGCGGACAAGGCGGCGACGTTCGACGGCGCCGGCCGCGCGCCAAAGGGCAGCGCCAGCATGGCCGCGAGCTTGGAGGGAGGCCTCGGGAAGGCGTCGTCCAAGGGAAAGAACTGGATAGTGGTCGGCGACGCGAAGACGGATTTCGCGTCGAAGCCCATCAAGCTTCTCGAGCTCGCCAACGGTAACTTCCTCCTCGTCAAGTACGCGGAGACGGACCAGGTGTTTTGCATCCCGTGCAACAGCACGGCGTATCAGTACCCGATGATCGACGGCGAGCTGTTCTTCGGGCCGGCCGGGCCGGCGATTCGCGTGCCGCTCGACGGCACCGAGTACGACCTCACGACGGGCGACGTGATCAAGGCGCGTTCTCTATTCTACACACTCGTCCCCATACGACCGCGTTCGCGTGGTGAACGCCGTTCCTTGAGGACTTTCTCTCCCGGCGCGTCTCTGCGCCCATCACCCCTCGCGTTCGATCCCGACACACCGCGATGTTGCCTTTCAACTCCATCTGACGCCTTTGAACTCCACCCCGACGTTCATTCGCTCGTACGCGACGCGCTTAAGTGGTGCCCGGGCGGGGGGAACCCGATCAAGAGCGTGCTCGGGGCGCTCAAGTCAAAGGAGACGCCGGTGCCGCTGCCGACGTACCCGGTGAGCGTGGCGGCGGACGGGACGATCAGCACGACGTTCGTGAAGTGAGAGAAGAGCGAATAATATTTGATCGTACATCTATTCCACGATTTGCCTTTCAAAAGGTTCGTCCTCGATCGAGAATCTCGGTCAAATTCGAGTGCACTCGATCGCGGCGTCATCGTTCTGTTGCCGGCGCCGGCCTCCAGAAGAGTCTTCGCGACTTGCCCCCCGCGGAATCGACCTGCAACCATCCGCGCGCGCGCCCCCGCCCATCGCACGATGGCGACCGCCGACCTCATCAAAAACGTGTTCGGGGACTCCGACTCGGACTCCGACGCGGACGCCGCCGCCCCCGCGGCCGCGGCGAAGCCGACCAAGGCGGAGCTGCGGGCGACCGCCGCGAAGAAGGCCGCGTTCGCCGCCGCGCTCGGGGCGGTCGACGACGACGACGACGACGACGACGCGGGCGGCGACGCGAGCGACGACGACGGCTCGCTGGGCGGCGACGTCGTCGCGGAGAAGCCCGCGTTCCGGAGCTCGCTCGAGGACCCGGACGCGGCGGGAAGCGACTCGGACGACGAGAAGCCGGGTGCGCGCCCTCTCGACGGATCGACCGATCGACCGATCGATTTTAGGGCGCGCGCGCATCATCCAGCATCTTTCCTCCCCTCGCCGCGCGGATCGATCGCGATCGTCGCCGCCCCCGCGGGAAGGAGCGCGTCTGCGAGGACCGCATCGCGCCCACCCCCACGCCCACCCCCACGCCCGCGCTGACGCGATCCACCCTCCGTCCCCAACACCGCAGAGCCCGCGCCGGACTTGCACATCGACGTCCCGTACATCGATCCGATCCCGGAGGGCGTGACCGCGAAGATCTTCAAGCAGACCAACGTGTGCCGCGTGGAACCGCAGCCGTACGACCCAAAGACGTTCCAGCTCGAGACGGAGACGATCACGCACGCGGACGGGACCACGGAGACGCGCCCCGCGGACGTGCACAACGTCATCCGATGGCGCCACGTGCTGGACGAGGACGGGAAGCAGGTGATGGGGGAGGACGGAGAGCCGAAGATCGAATCCAACGCCAAGTTCGTGCGTTGGAGCGACGGGAGTCTCACGCTGCACATCGGCGAGGAGGTGCTGCGCGTGACGGAGACGGACATGAGCGGGGAGCATCAGTACGTGTACGCGCGGCACCCCGGGGTGTTGCAAGGGGTGAAGCACATCGAGTCGCGGTTGCAGATGGCGCCGAGGAACCTCGACAGCGCGACGCACTCGCGGCTGACGCGGCGCGTCGACGCCAGGCACGTCAAGTCCAAAAAGGTTCAGGCGCGTTCTCCTCACACTGGTTCCCGTACGACCGCGTCGGCGTGGTGAACGCCGTTCCTTAAGGACTTTTCCCGGCGCATCTCTCCGCTCATCCCTCGGTTTCAATCCCCACCCTCGACGCCTTTCAACTCCATCTGACGCCTTTCAACTCCACCCCGACGTCGCTTCGTATGGAACGACCCTCAGTCGTTCGTCAAGATTCACAACCCGGAGAAGGATAAGGAGGCGGAGGAGCGAGAGGCGCTGCGGATCGAGAAGGAGCGCGCGACGCTCGCGAAGAAGCAGAAGGCGGCGATGGGCAAGGGGGGGTACAAGCGGTCGATGCGGGACGATTACTACGACGCGCGAGACGCCGGCGGGGGCCTGGACGGGGACTTTTTGGAAGACTCGGACGACGGCGAGGACGACGACGCGGAGGCGGAGGGGCGAGCGACGAGGGCGGGGGCCAAGGTGGCCGCCGCCGCCGCCGCGGGGGCGGAGAAGGCGGCGGCGGCGCCCGGCGGGTACGACGACGAGGAGATGATGGACGAGGACGACGACGAGGAGGAGGAGCCCTCGGCGAAGAAGAAACGCGGCAGGGCGATCGACAGCGACTCGGATTGATAAACAGAACGAAGAACGACTCGCGAGCGCGCGGCGTCGCGTGCGAACATGACATCGTTCCCTCGACCGCGACGTAGCCCTACAGGAACGGATTCCTGCGCCGATCCCTCTCCGCCTCGTCCACCGCGCCGACGTCCCTCAGACGCTCGTCGCTCATCTCCGCGACGCCCGCCGGAAGCTTCTCCTCCTCCGTCGTTCCGCATCGCACCCACCACTCCATCTCCATCGGACTCGCGTCGTACAACATCGCGCTCGTCTCTCTCGTCCCCTCGCCTAAACGCCGGATCCACGCCCTGAACCCGTTCACCGAGCCGAACGACGCGCGCAGCATGCCCGCCCTGCCGAGGACGTCCGGTCGCAGCGCGCCGCCGACGTCGTCGCGCCACACGCCGTCGAGCGCGAGCTTCTGACACAGCGTCCGGCCGTTCCTGAGCGTGCGTCGGACGCCCTCCGACGTGAGACGACGGTTCCGGTGGCGCCGCGTCGTCTTCGACAGCGCCTCCGCGATCTCCGCGTTCGAGATGGACTCGTCCGGCTCGTCTTGGTAATCGTAGAGCTCCGCCTCCTCCTCCGCGGGAAGCGCGCGCGCCGCGTCCTCCTTCTTCTCGAGCTCGGTCAGCATCGCCTCTAGCTCGGCGGTGACGCCCGGGTCGGGCGCGGGGGCGTCGGGGACGCGAGGCGGCCGCCGCGAGAGCGACGCGTCGAGCGCGCCGAGGATCTCCTCGAGATCGGCCGCGACGGGGTCGGCCGCGGCCTCGGGGACGTCCTCCTGCGTCATGGGGACGGGACGCGCGTCGTCGGAGTGACGGGATGGAGAGGGACGACGGTCGTCGTCGTCGTCGCGCATCTACGCATCGCACAGCTGTCGTCGTTTGACTGATAAATAATTTGAATCTCGTCACTTCGTCGACGCGCGCCCGCCCCACGCGCCCTCGTCATCATGTCTTCTGCCGCGCTCGCGTCGTCGTCCTCGGCGTTCGCGTCGCGTCGCGTCGCGCGCGCGTCGTCGCTCGTGCGCCGCGCCGCGCGTCGCCGCGTCGTCGTCGTCGCGCGCTCGTCGTCGAATCTCACAACGTCTCCCCCCGGCGCCTCGTCCGACGGCGGCGACGCCGACGCCGACGCGCGTCGTCGCGACGAGCGGACGGACGACGTCGCGCGCGCGGTCCTCGAGTTCCACGCCGCGGAGGGCAACGGCAACGGCGCGCGCGGCCGCGGCGGCGAGCGCGTCGTCCCGCTCGCGTCGTTCGCGCGTCGATACGGATGGTCCGAGTCGCGCGCGGAGGGCGTCCTGTGGCAGAGCGACGTCCCCGCGCGAGCCTTCGGCGTCCTCCCCGTCGCGGACGAAGACGGAACGTCAACCGGCGCGGCGCGCGCGGCGCGGACCGTGGACGCCGCCGTCGCGTACGAGGGGATGTGGCGCACGTTCGTGGAGACGGACGCGGTCGTGGACGCGCTCGCGCGAGCGACCGCGCGAGGAGACGGCGACGGCGACGGCGACGGCGCGCGAAAACCCGCGCGCGGGCACCTCACGAAGCGCCGCGCGTTCGACGACGCGCTCGCGTCGCTGCGTCGCGACCACCCGGCGTCGTGCTTCCCGGAGGGCGGCGCGTCGCTCGCGGCGGGAGCGAGCTCGACGACCGCGCGATGGAACGAGTTCCTCCGCGCGCTGAGGCGGCGGTACGGCGCGAGCGCGAGCGCGTGGCCGTTCGCGCTGCTCACGAAAAAGATCAAGCGTCGGCGCGTCTACGCGTGCGCGGCGGCGGCGTCCTTCGACGCGGAAGGATGGACGGCGGCGGGATGGGACGTCGTCCTGAGAGGCGACGCGCGCGTCGAGAGAGGCGGGTTCGGCGTGCGAGGCGGGATCGGGCGCGGCGGGAGCGACGCGTCGCCGGTCGCGGCCGCGAAGGCGGCGGTCGCGGCGGCGTCGGAGGCGGCGGCGGCGGCGGCGAACGAGTACGAGAACGACGACGCGGCGCGTCTGGCGGCGCTCGAAGCGATGGACGCGCGGCGGGTCGCGAGGGCGGCGACGTGGAAGGTCGTGGAGACGACGGAGACGTGGGAGGCGTCGTTCGCGGCGGCGGCGGCGGGAGAAGAAGAGGAGGAAGAGGAAGATGAGGAGGAGGAGGAGGAGGAAGAGGAGGAGGAGGCGACGGCCGCCGCCGCCGCGATCGTCGCGAAGAACAACGTCGTCGCGCCCGCCATGACGCCCGCGGAGCGTCGACGCCGCGCGCGTCTGGGCGCGTGGTGATGCGAGCGCCGCGACGTAAAGTACATCCGAAGTGCGCGAGTACTTCCGCGCTGCTCGAGAGAAGGAAGAGGACGCTCTGTTCTGTTCATCTCGTCGCGTTCGTCGGCGCGCGCGTTCCAGTCGCGCCCCGCCGCCGTCGCGTTCTCTCTGCTCGCGCGCTCTTCGCCGTCGCCGTCGTCATCTTCGTCGCCATCGTCGCCATCATCGTCGTCGTCGTCAGTCCACGACCTCGAAGTCCGAGTCTCGCCAGCTCTCGTCCTCTCGCCAGTCCTCCTCGTCCGCGGGGTACATAACCCCCAACGCGTCTCGGTCCGCGCGCGTCAGCCGCGGGTGCCACAAGTCGACGACGAGCACGACGCGCGTCGGTCCAACGCGGCTTCTCCCGCCGCCTCCTCCTTCGCCTTCGCATTCCGCGTCGTCGCGTTTGCGATACTCCGCGTGGTGCTCGAACGAGTCGTCGAACAGGAGCGCCTCGCCCTCGCGCCACGTCGTCGACTCGTCCGCGACCTTCAAGACGCACGCCGGGGAGACGCCGCCGGCGCCGCCGGCGGCGGCGCCGCGCGTCGGCACGCGAATCCCCAGGTGGCACCGCGCGCGCGCGTTCGTCGGACCGTGATGCGACGCGATCGTCGTCCCGGGCGCGAGCCGAGAGAGGTACGCGCTCCCGAAGTGGAACCCTCTCGAGCGCACGGGGGCGCCGCGCGCGACGCGGCGCCCGCGCGCGCCGTCGCCGTCGTCCGAAGAGAGCGTCGCGGTCGCGTCCTCTTCTTCTTCGCGGACTCGGTACGCGGCGTGTCTGAGGGCCGTTCCATCATTCGAAGCGACGTCGGGGTGGAGTTCAAAGGCGTCAGAAGCGGAGTTGAAAGGCGTCGAGGTGTGTCGGGAGGATTGAAACCGAGGGACCCTGGGCGGAGAGATGCGCCGGGAGAGAAAGTCCTCGAGGAACGGCGTTCACCGCGCGAACGCGGTCGCGCGGGAACCAGTGTGATGAGAGAACGCGCCTTAGCCGACGCAACACGCGCATCGTGTTCGGAAAGTCCACCGCCGCGCCAACCGTCTCCGCGCCGTTCTTGTACAGATCGTACCTCGTCCACTCGCCGTCGCGGTTGTACACGTTGCCGTTCTCGCCGGGGGAGAACGGGATGAAACTGCCGCTTCGCGCGTGACGTCTGCTTTTGTTTATTCTGCCTCCTCCTCCTCCCCCGTCGCGATCGCCGCCGCCGCCGTCGAGGCCCAGGACGAACCTCGCGACGGACGCTTGCTTCGACTCCAACGCGTCGACTTCGTCCGTTATCACGCTCGCGTACTCCTCCAGTAACGCCAGATCCCCGCCCGTTTTCTTATCCCACAGCTGCGCGCACCAGCACCTCCCCGTCGCCGAGCATCCGCGGCCGTCGCGCTCGTGAATCGGCGTCGTCGGAAGGTTCGCGATCGCGAACACCGTCGGCGCCTGGCCCGTCCCCAGCGGCGGCGGCGCGCTTCCTCCGTCCGCGCCGCTCGCGGCGTCTCTCACGTGCGCTCGAACGTCCGACGACAGCGTGGCAGCCATCGTCGCGTCTTCCGCGATGGACGCCGCGTTCGCGCGCGTCCTCGACGCGAACGCCGACGGGACACATCTGAAGCACGTCGGGTCGTCGCACGCGTTGTGCACAGCTGTAGTGCTCCGCGTCGTCGTCGTCGTCGTCGTCGTCGTCGTCGTCGCGCCGCCGCCGTCGCTCGCGGACGCCGCCCTCGACATCTCCTCGATCCTCGCCTCGATGCGCGCGCGGCGGCTCCGCGCGATGGCGTCCTCTTCGTCCGCGGCCGCGCGCGCGCGGAGGAGCGCGTAGGCGACGACGACCGCTGCGAACGCGGCCACCGCGAGCTCGGCGAGCGTGGACGGCATCATCGCGAAGAGGTCGCCGCGCGTCGGGGTCGCGCGCGTCCATCGCGACGCCGCGGACCAGAACCGCGCGGCGAGGACCGGCGTCGCGAGCGTCGCGATGAGTTTCAGCGCGCGCGGGGGGGCGCGCGCGGCCGCGGGGCGCTGGGGGGGCGGCCGCATGCGCGCTCGCGGAATGTTACCCTTTCGGAGAAGAAAAACGAAAGAGGTCGGGTCCGCCCTTCCAGCCGACCGACCGCTCGCGTTCGCACTCCCGAGGGGCGCGCCCCTCGGGAGCTCCGCCGGCGTCGACGCGCGCGCGCCGCGCGTCGACGCTCGCGCGTCTCGTCCGCCTCGTGATTCGCGCCACCGACGCGCGGACGCGGCGCGCGGGGGCGTCCCGTCGCGCGCCACACCGAACCGAACGCCGCGCCTGGTCCCTCCTCCCCGCGTCTCTTCTCTCACCTTATGCTTCGCGTCGCCGCCGCGACCGCGCGCGCGCCGTGGCTCGGCGCCGCGTACGCGCTCTGGCGCGGCGCGCGACGCGTCGCGCGCCGCGGGCGCGCGGCGCCCAAGCCGAGGGCGTCGCGCGCGAGGCCGCTCTCGACGCGCGGCGCGCTGGAGGAACGACGCGACTCGGCGACCGCCGCCGCGCCCGCGGACGCGCGCGAGGCGGCGGACGACGCCGACGCCTCGCGCGCGACGGCGACGCGCGCGCGCCTCGAACGTCTCGCGCGCGTGCTCATCGCGACCACGACCGTCGCCGCCGCGGTCGCGACCGCGAACGGAGGAGCGTCGTCCTCGTCCTCCTCCTCCTCCTCCTCCTCCTCCTCCTCCTCCTCCTCCTCGCGCGCGCGCGAGGAAAAAAAACGACGCGCCGCGCTCGAGCGTCGCGTCCGCGTGCGCGTCTCCGAACGCGACGGCGTCGTCGCGTTCGACGCGAGCGTCGCCACGGTCGCGCCGCGAGCGCGCGCGTGGGACGCCGTCAAGCGCGCGGTCCTCGGCGAGCTGCGGCCGAGGTTGGACATGCGAGACATCGTGTGGCAGCGCGCGACGGTCGAGGGACAGCCGGCGCGTCCGGCGTTCGCGCCCTCGACCACCGCGCGCGTCATCGACCAGGAAGCGACGTGGCGCTGGGGGCTTCTCGGCGGGAAGTCTCGCATGCGACTGCTCGTGAAGACGACGGACGCGGAGGCGGAGGCGAGCTTCGCGCTGATGCAGCCGTCGGAGGTCGGCGGCGCCAAGTCGGCGACGCTGCGAGGTGAGACCATCTTCGGACCGAGACTGATCCCCATACGACCGCGCGCGCGAGGTGAACGCCGATCCTTGAGGACTCGCTCACTTCTCCATCGTTCTCTCCTTCTCCGTTTCTTTCGCGCAGACTACCGCGGCGTCATGGGCGTCGCCCGCGCGCCGCCGGTGGACGCGCGCGACGCCGAGTCTCCCGAGACCCGAGGCGGGTGCGTGCTGTACATGAGAGGCGAAGCCGCGGGCGCGGAGCTCGGGTTCGCCGCGAGAGCTGTCGCGTCGAGGGCGATGAAAGAGGCGCTTCGAGGCCAGGTCGTGAGGACGCTCGCGGACGTCTGCTTCGTGTCCGACGCTTTAATAACGGACGAGTGATGTATACACCGTCATGATGTATACACATCGCCAGCCGCACGTATGCTATTCTCCGTCTACCCCGCGCCGCTACGCTACGTTCAGTTAGTCTACTACCCTCATCTATTCCCTAGCTAGTCTACTACGTACTTACCCCCGCGCGCGGGTACCGCATCACGAGCGTCTTCTCCTGCGCGCAGTTCGAGAACAAGTGAAACAACCGCGGGTCTCGAAACCCGCGCGCCTCGAGCGACGCGACCGCCTCCTCGATCTGTCGTTCCCACTCGCCGTACCCGCGGCAAAAGTTTTTAAACGTCGTCACCAGCGTCGCGCCCTTCTCGTCCGTCGCGAGCTTCCCCGTCAGCGACAGCAGAATCTCGACGACGTCGCGCGGCGGCGCGTTCGCGTCGCACACGAGCAGCCTAATGTTCGCGCCCGCCGAACCATCTCCCGAACCATCTCCGCGTCCGACGGATCCGAAGCGTCTTCTCAAATCGTCGTCGACGGCGTCGGACGCGTCCTCCGCGCGCATCGCGAGGTGCGTCACGCACGCGGGGAGGGACGCGCCGGCGCCGTCGATCGCGATCGCGCCCGGGTCGATCGCGTACACGACGCCGCCGCGCTCGGCGTCGAGGCGACGCGCGATGTAGTGCGTCCATCCGCCGGGCGACGCGCCGACGTCGACGCACCGCCAATCGCGTTCCACCGTCACGCGCGCGCGAAGGCACGCCTCCTGGAGCTTGTAGAACGCGCGGCACGGCGGCGCCTCGCGCTCGCGACGCGTCTTGATCGACTCGCAGTGGTAGATCAGATCGCGCAGCGTCGCGACGCCGGGCGGCGGGGGCGAGGGAGGGCCGGGCGCGTCGTCGTCGCGCGTCGACGCCGCCGACGCGAAGTCCGCGTCGTCGCCGGCTTCTGCTTCGCACGGCGCCGTCGCGCTCCACATCGAGACGTACGCGCGCCCGGCGACGACGACGACGTCTACGCCGTGCGTCGCGTCCTTCGCTGCGGCGACGCACGGCTCGCGCGCGTCGGCGTCGTCGTCGGCGTCGTCGTCGGGACGCGTCAGCGCGGCGACGAACGCGTCCCCCGCCGTCGGAGGGAACCCGCGCACTCTGATCATCGCGCGGCCGCCGTCGTCGCCGCCTTCTCCGCCCTCTCCGTCCTCGCCCCGCCGCTCGCGAAACGCGCGCGCGGCGTCGGTCACAAACCCCCGCGCCATCGCGCGCAACGCCGCGCGCAGCTCGTCGTCCGAGTCCGCGGCGACGGTCGTCGAGCGCGTCGCGAGCCGCGCGTCGTCGCCGCCGCCGCCGCCGCCGTCGCCGACGACGTAGATCCTCTTCTGCGCGACGAGAAAGTGCGGCTCGCGCGCGACGCGCCGCAACGCCCCTGCGACGCCGCCGCCGCACCGCGCGAGGACGACGCAGTCCGCGTTCCGCGTGAGGTCCGCGCGTGCGCTCGCGACGACCGCGTCGTCGCCGAACAGCTCGCGGCATCGCGTCGTCGTCCGCGCGGCCATCCCGATCTCGCACTGAAACGCGAGGAGGCAACGATCGCCGTCGCCGATCGCGACGGCGCGCGACGGCGGATGCGGGAACCAGCACTCGGGCGCGTCCGGGTCCTTCCTCCGCGCGACGTCGCGCGCGCAGACGCCGTACCGCTCGAACGTCCAGCACGGCGCGCGCTCGCGCCTGGGGACGTGCGCGCGCGCGCACGCGTCGCCGAACGCGCAGCACGACGCGCCGCCGCGGAGGAACAGCTTGCACAGCTCCGCGCCGACGACGCCGTCGCGCGTCGGCGCCGCGCGCGGGGGGTCGTGATGACGCCTCGGCGGGGGGCGCACGGGCTGGAGCGCGCGCGTCGCGTCGTCGTCGCCGTCGCGCGCGTCGAACCGCGCGCGCGGCTTCGTCATGCCCGCGCGCGCGCGTCGGAAGTGAGGCGACGGCGGCGGCGCTGCCGACGAAATAACGCATCGCGCGGGCGAGCAGACTGGAGTGCTCGCTCTCGGTCCTGTGTGATGACGCCGCGATCCGTCGCTAGGGTATTCCGTCGCGCGCACCCACCTTCGCGGGGCGCACGCAGGCTTCCGCGAACCGAACGCGCGATGCTCCGTCGCATCGCGAGCGTCGCGGGCGCCGCGGCCGCGCGCGGCGCGCGGGCGAACCCGATCGGCGCCGCCCCCGCGGGCGCGCGCGCCGTCGGCGGGCTCATGGTGGTGCGTCGCTCGCCGCCCGTCCTCCGCTCGCTCCGCCCGCGTCGGTTGCGTTCTCTTCTTCTCCCTCCCTCCTCTCGGGCGGCCGCCGCCGCGCGTCCGGGAGGGGGGGGTCCCTCCGCGACGGCGTCGGCGGCGACGCGCGCGGCGACCTTCGCGCGCGTCCTCGCGACGCGTCGTCGGATCTGACCCGCGCGCGCCCGCCCCCGCGATCGTCCTCCGACGCGATCGCGTCGCGCGACCCTTCGACGCGTCCGTCCTCGTCTCGCTCGCTCTCGTCGCCCTAATTCTTCCATCGATTCGTCGATCGCGCGCGCTGACCCGCCCGGCATCCCTTCCCTACCTCCCCCACGCCGCATCGATCGCAGCACCGCGACACGCCGACGAACAACGACGCCCTGAAGTGGGACTTCACCGAAGCGAACGCGCCGCTCGTGCGCGAGATCTTAGAGCGGTACCCGCCAAACTACAAGCGCAGCGCGATGATCCCGCTGCTCGACGTGGCGCAACAGCAAAACGGCGGATACCTCTCCGTGCAGGTCATGAACCGCGTCGCGGAGATTTTGGAGGTGGCGCCGATCCGCGTGTTCGAGGTCGCGACGTTCTACTCCATGTTCAACCGCCAGCCCGTGGGGAAGTACCACGTCATGGTGTGCGGCACGACGCCGTGCATGCTTCGCGGCTCGCGGGAGGTGAACGCGGCGCTGGAGCAGCACCTCGGGATTAAAAAGTTTGAAAACACGCCGGACGGGATGTTCACGCTGGGGGAGATGGAGTGCATGGGGTCGTGCGTCAACGCGCCGATGATCGCGGTCGCGGACTACACGAACGGCGTGGAGGGGTACACGTACAACTACTACGAGGACTTGACCCCCGCGGACGCGGTCGCGGTCGTCAAGGCGTTGAAAGCCGGGCAGAAGCCGCGCGTCGGGAGTCAGCACAGGGACAAGGCGGAGCCGATGGGCGGGCAGCAGACGCTCACGAGCGAGCCGCCGGGGCCGTACTGCCGGGATCTGAACAAGGCGAGGGCGGACCTGGAGGCGGCGGCGAAGGCGGCGGCGGAGGCGGCCGCCGCCGCGGAGAAGGAGAAGAAGGCGTGACGTCGTGAATCGTCCATCATTTTAATCATCATTGACTCCGAGATTGTACTCACAACGAGAAGATCCACATCCTCCTCAGCTCCATCCGCGTCACCGCCCGAGGTTCATCTTCACCACGGACTTCGTCGCCTGGGACTTGCACCCGGTGAACGGCGGCACGAAGGGCTTCTCGATGAGCTCCGCGTCCGCCTCCATCTTCTCCCTCGCCGCCGCGATCTTCAGCTCCGCGGGGTCCGCCATGTGCTTCGGAAACCGTTGCAACGTCGCGTTGTACCCGCGTTTGGGCGGGTGACTCGGACGCCACTGCTTCTCGATCGGGCTCCCCTTCGGCTCCGGAAGCTCCGGCCCTTCCTCCTTGTACGAATACTCCCCCACCACCCCCGCGCCCTTCGGGCCCCCGATCGTCGTCCCGCGGGTGCCGTACCCGCCCTTCTTCGGCGCGCGCGCGGGCGCCCACGCGGAGCCCTGCATCTTCTTCTTCCCCTCTCTCTCCCGCGCCGCGTTCGCTTTTCTCTCCGCGTCGTACTCGTCCCCCTTGTACGAATACTCCCCGGCCACGCCGTGCCCTTTCGGTCCCCCGAGCGTCGTCCCGCGGGTGCCGTAGCTCCCTTTCTTTCCCGGGCACGTCGTGATCTGCCGCGGCTTCTCGTCGAGTCGCGGGTCGCCCTTCATCAGCTTCTCGTCGTTCGGGTCGACGTCGCCGCCGGGAACGCTCTCGTGCTTCCCGCCGATACATCCGCCGTACCCGCCCAGCCCGCACGCGTGCTTCGTCAGGCTCGTCGGCTTGAACGGCTTGTCCGTGACCTTCCCGGCCTTCTCCGTCTCTCTCCTCGCCGCGCGCTCCTCGTTCGTGAGCGCGTACTTCTCGTTCGCGTACAGAGGCTTGAGCTTATCGAAGCACGCCCTGTTGTCCTTGCCCGTCTTTCGCGTCGACGCTTTCATGTTCAGGCCTCGGTACCGCGACGACTGCGCGAGCGGGTCCTTGCCGTCCAGGTACGGGTCCCCGACGGCCAAGTACCCGGCGTCGCTGAACGTGCCGTACTTGTTGGACATGGTGGAGAGCGCGGGCGGCTCGCTCGCGGGGCGGGGCGATCACGATTACGATTCCGAATCCGCTTTGGGACGGATGGACGGACGGAGGACCGACGACGGATCGCGTCGACGCGGTCGACGCGCGTCGTATCGCGCGCGCGGGGTGCTCCTTCCCTTCCCTTCCCGGGGGGAGCGCGTCTCGTCGGCGGCGGCGCGCGCTCGCGAGGTCCGGGGTGGTGGACGACGACGCGACGGCGAGCGCGGCGCGGGGTCGTGGCGAATGACGAGGCGAATGCGCGCACCGGGGGTCCAACGCTCGAGTAGTTCAGTCTTGTACGAGTACGTACGAGTCAGGCTACGCGTGCACGTACACGTGCACGTACTCGGAGCTCGCATGCATCACTGCTCGCCCAACACGCATACGCACGGTGCACTCTCTTACACGCATGGGGTGCGCGGGGTCGAAGGCCGAAACTCACGATGACACCTGGGGCGAACTGGATCCAAGTGAGCGCACGGTAATGCCGGCATCCGAGAGAGAAGCAGTCTCATTTCGAGAGATAGAAGACGAAGCGCTTCGACTGAATGCCGAGGCGAAAGAAACGGAGGAAGCGGGACATTTTGACGATGCGCGCGCGTTATACGAGCGCGCGCTTGAGTTGATGAGCTCTACGTCTGGGATGACCGTGCCTTATGCCACCACACTCAGCAACATGGCGTGCCTCTTGCGCACTCAGAAAAGATATGATGAGGCACTGGAGCTGTTCACAGAGGCCTTAGACATGGTCGAAAACTATCAATATTGGGATTCTTTTGGGGGTGAAGATTCTAAGAAGGAGATGGTTGATCAAATACTGCAAAATAAGTTGCAGATGGAAATTCGGAGCGGGGTCATAACCTAATCAACGAGTTCGGTGACGTATCCTCGTTTTCCGCATCGCGTCTCGATGACCGCTGTCCTCCGCGGATTCGGCGGGCCGGCGATATTGTCCTCGACGACGCCCTTTGCGAATTTAACGTTCTGTAGCCTATTGTAATAAACCTCTTGTCAGTGTACTCTGACGGTTTATTAGACCGTGAAACGCTGAAACGTCGAAATGCGCGACGTATGGGCAATTAGTCAGGTGCCATCTGGCCCTTTTTTTTCGTTCAAAGCCGCGCAGGCCGCGGGCGCGGCGCCACTTCCTCGCGAGTCGCCGCGCACGTTCGTCGTCGAACGCGCGTCGCCGATCGCGGAGACAGTGAAAACGTAATTGTTCCTCGCAGCGGGAACACCCACATCGCGCACGTCGAGCGCGTCGCGCGCGTTTGAGCGTCGCTCGCCGCGCGCGCCCTCGCCGTGCGTCATGGCTCGATTCGCCGCGAACGTCACTATGCAGCGATTCCTCGCCGCGCTCGCGGTCCTCGCGCTCGCCGCCGTCGGCGTTCAAGGTGCGCGCGCGCGCTCGTTCGGCCGTCTATGCGCGCGCCGCGCGCTCGATCGCGGCGCGATCGCGCGTCGCGTCGCGTCGCCGCGCGCGCGCCGCGTCGCGCGATTCGAACGAAAAAAAGAGCGCGAGAACTGACGCGCCCCCCTTATTCCATCCGATCCCGCCCGAACCGCCCCCGACGAACAGCCGGCTGCGACTACCACACGAACTGTGCTTCGTGCGTCGCGGACACGACGTGCGGATGGTGCGTGATCGCGCGCGTTTCGGAACACCCCGGGGCTCGCGCGGCGGCGGCGCGCGCGCGCGCGCCGCGCGATCGTTCGGCCGCGCGGCCGTTGGATCGGCATTTTCGATCGATCGATGTTAAAATTCCGCGAAGACGTCGCTCTCTTCGCTCGCCCCTGACCTCCGCGCTCGCTCGCGCCTCTCCCCCCTGCCTCCAGGTGCGGCAACGACCCGTACTCCGCGGGCGGCTACGGCATGACGCTCCAGGGCGATCACACCGAGGGCAACCCGTTCTCCCCCGACGCGTACATGGTCGGCGGGTACGGCAAAGTCAAGCAAGACACGAACCCGAAGATCGTCCTCGGGCAAAACACGCAGTTCACGAAGCAGTTCCGCGGCTACTCCTCCTACGGCGTCGACGCCGCCTCCGCCCCGACGAAGCTCGGGTCCAACCCGTTCACGATGGTCGTCGTCGTCGCGAACGTCGCGCAGGAGATGCCCATCCATCGCGTCTGGTCCGACGCCAAGATCGAGCTCGAGTCCGCGCCCGCCGCGACGTTCACCGCGTTCATTCCGTTCACGCTCGGCACGCCGCGCGGCAGCGGCGGCCTCAGCGCGGGGCCCACGGGCACCGAGGTGGTGCTCCCCAACTCGGCGTCCAAGGAGCAGCTCACCGTCGTGTGCACGACGGGGAACGATCTCCCGACGACGCCGACGCCCAACTCGGCGAACGCGTGCAAGTTCACGAAGGAGCTGAAGGTTGGGTACTGGATCGTGCTCGACAAGAACACGGTCGGCGGCGTGCCGACGCCGATTCATCGCGTCATCACGTCGATCAAGTCGGACACGGAGCTCACCGTGGACGCCGACTTCACCCTCTCCAACGCCACCGTCACGAGCAGCCTGTCGCACTCCGGCTCGGTGATCGCCGCGCCCGGGGACTGGACGTACGTGGCGTGCCCGCCGCGCATCGGGAAACGCGCCACCGGCGTGGGCTTCATCGAGTCGCACCCGGATCAGTCCTCGGATTTCAAAAACTCGGGCGCGATCGCGACGGGACGGAGCGACGACTCCATCTACCGCGCGTCCGGCGCGGCGACGCTCAAGAAGCACCGCATCGTCGGACGAGGCACGCGCTTCGAGACGCAGATGGGGAAGACGTCGCACTGGGCGAAGGCTGAGACGGGCGGATACTTTGGCGAAGGCCCTTGGATGTCCGTGCAGATCAACGGCGACTGGGAGACGGTCAAGGTGGACAACCTCGCGACGACGGGGACGTACGCCGAGTACATCATGAACCTCGAAAACTCCTTCTCCGAGCCTTTGCTCAAGGCGACGCACTTCCACTGGTACACGATGCTCACGAAGGGCTACGGCCGCGTGCGGTCCTACGGCAAACGCGTCGTCTCGAACATGTGGTCCAACACCGAGTTCTCCAACACCGCGGGCGAGGGCACGACGGAGGGATTGTACGGGAACACGAGGTTTCTCACGGAGCTTCGCACCGGCTTCACGATCACCGCGTGCGGGCAGACGAGGATGGTGAACTCGATCCAATCCGACGTCGAGCTCACGATCGACCGACCGTTCACGCTCGGCAACCGCGAGTTCATCGCACACACCGGGTCGACGGCGAAAGCGGACGACCTGTACGTCCGCGGTCTGACCCGCCTCATGCCGCTCTGGCCGCGCGGGGTCACGGTGCAGATCATCGTCACGAAGGCCACCTCGGGCGCGACCCCGAAGTTCAAGTACCACGTGTGGTGGAAGACGTTCAAGCACACGGACGACGGCGACGGAAACAGCGCGGACGACCAGTGCACGAAAGCGATGATCACCGCGGACACGGACTGCGGCATCGCGATGCAGTGGAGCACGTGGTTCCAGCTCAAAGACGCGGAGCTCCAGAAGGAGTTTGGCGTGTACATCAAGTGGAACAAGATCGCCATGGGCGCGGGCTCGGTGGCGACGCCGAGGTTTGTAAAGTTTGACCAGTGGAAGATCCACGTCGCGGACATCGAGAACTGCGAGTACTGGATCTCCACCGAGGGCGAGCGCTTCATCACGGACGACAACGCGAACCCGCCGGTGTGCTACAACTACGGCAAGTGCCTCCCGATCACGACGGACGCGACCACGCCCGCCGCCGCGGAGAGACGCCCGCAGATGAACGCCCCCGGCCTCGTGCAGTACGACGTCTCCACGTTCAAGCTCACCGCCGCGCAGGACCCTGCGGACGGGAACCGCAACGCGAAGTTCACCTCGGACGTGGACCCGGGAGACATCGTTCGCCTCATGGTGGACGGCGCCGGCACCGACGGCGAGGGCGACGGCAAGTGGAAGGACATCCGCGTCGCGCGCATCGTCTCCGACACGGAGCTCATCTCCGACTACGCGCAAGCGATCGACACGTCGACGCCCGGCGGCAGCTTCAACTACCGAATCCTGAAGTGCGCGGCCGGTCGTCGCTACGGCGTGAACCACGACGACACCTCCGGGTCGTACCTCCCCGCGAACAGCAAAGGCCTCGCGCCGGACGAGACGGCGCTGGCGTACCTGCCGCACCCGGAGCACACGTTTTATCAGACGTGGTCGTACAAGTACTGCGAGATCGACCCGGGGTGCTGCGGCTTCCGCGTGTCGTCCGTCGTGCAGCCGCAACAGTTTGGGTACTACCACGTCAAGCCGGACCACTCCAACTACAACCTGCGGATCGCCGTGCACACGGTGAACGACAACTTGGATTTGTACACGCGTCGCGACGACGACGGCGGCGGACGTCCGGACACGACCAACTACCACCTCACGTCCGTGCGCGAGTCCGTGCCGTGGGCGATCGACGAGGACGAGTACGACTTCGCGTGCGTGTCTTCCAGACTCAAGCAGTCCGTCTTGGGCGGCGCGACGGCCGTCGCGGCGGGTAAACCCGAGGAGGCGTACCACACGTCCCTCGCGAGGTTCGTGCAAAACGACGACGTCCCCAACTGCGAGAAGTGGGTCGTCGGCGTCATGGGCGACAACCGGTACCCGCAGACGGTCGGCGCGAGCGAGTACAGCGCGCGGTTCTACATCGAGTTCAACTTTCCGGACTTCGCGTGCGAGGACAGCGCGGCCCCGGCGACGGCGGTCGGCGGTTTCCCCGCCGCGTCGCACAAGGATAAGTGCGTGCAAAACAACCTGCGGTTCGTTCGCGACGCCGACGTCGTCCTCAACAACGCCGACTCCCCGAAGTGGGTGGTGCGCCTGACCGAGACGAAGAAGCGCGTCAACGGGCAGTTCGTGAAGTGGCGCGACCAAGGCGGGGCGTCGTACCCGAACGCGCAGCGCTCCGGCGCGGTGTGGTGGCACAGAAAAGTCCACATCTGGGACGGCTTCGAGACGAATTTCGTCTTTCAAATTACGGACCCGTCGCAGTGCGGCGGCGAGGACAAGATCTGCGACGGCGGCGACGGCTTCGCGTTCGTCATCACGAACGACGATCGCCAAGAAGACGCGGACTACAACTCCAACACCGGGTGGGACTGCGAAACGAAGGAGGATTGCAAACTCACCGACGGCTTGATCGGCTGCCCCGCGGACGGCTTGGGCTACGCCAACTCGAAGAAGTCTAACACCGTGGATTACTTCGGCGAGTGGGTAGAGTGCACGAACGGCCTGCGCAAAGCCCTCGCGGTCGAGTTCGACACCTTCTACAACGTCGAGCGAAGAGACCCGAAGCAAGGGAAGCAGCACTGGTGGATCAACGCGACGGAGTACGTGTCGTACAACGACAATCACCTCGGCGTCTTCATGACGACGGAGCCCAAGTACGCGCATCAGCCGTGGGGCGCCGCGCAGCCCGAGCTCAAGGCGCTGCACAGCGACGACGAGAACGGCGCGCACTTCGGGAGCACGCCGTCCGTGCCGACGATGGCGGACTTCCAAGAGCACACGGTGAAGATTCGATACACCAGAGGGTTCACCACGGAGAAGCAGGGCTCGGGGAAGATCTCCACGACGGACATCGTCACGGACGACAAAGACCGACGCCGCCTGAAGGGCAACCAGCTCACGAAGTTCAAGACGGAGCTCAGGACCGGGTTTGAGTTTGGCTACGCCTCGAGGGTCAAGGCGAACGTCAAGGTGAAGCTGAACCGCGACATCACGTGCGAGGACCCGGAGAACCTCAGGGCGCACTACAACGACGTCGGGTCGTTCGAGGCGTGCAGGACGTCGCCGCCCGTGGCGACGACCGGTTTCGGCGACGACGGCGAGGCTTCTCGAGTCATCAAGATCATCGACGACGACGAGGCGAACCTCGAGGACACGTCCACCTCGGACGCGACGAACGAGGAGAAGGAGGTGCGCATCACGTACATGAACGCGTTCAACCCGAAGCAAGACTACGACGCGGATTACAACATCATCAAAGAGTTCCCGGGAGAGGTTCAAGACAAAATAACTTACTTCTAACTATCCGCCGGCGCCGACGCTCGTGACCTCCGCCTCGCCGCCGTCGTCGATCTGATGCACCAGGTGCGCGCCGTTCAGGCGCGGACTCATCAGGAGCTCTTTCAGTTTCGTCGGATATATCGGCTTCGTGATGTACTCGTCCATGCCCGCGGCGAACCCCTCCTGGTGATTCTCCGCCGTCGCGTTGGCGCTCGTGGCGAGGATGAAATTCCGCTCGGGGAGCTCCCCGCTCGCCTCCATCTCTCGTATCTTCCGCGTCGCGTCCAGCCCGTCCATCACGGGCATCTGCACGTCCATCAAGATCGCGTCGTACCTCGCGCCGCCGCGCAAGATGTCCACCGCCTCCTTGCCGTTGTTCGCGAGGTCGGAGCTCATCCCGCAATGTTTCACCACCACCCGCGCGACCTTTTGGTTCATGACGTTATCCTCCACGATGAGCACTCTGCCGCCGTGTTTAAACGCGAACATCCCCGCGGCGGTGACGAACGACGCGACGGTGTCGCCGCTGACCGTCTGTTGCATCGGCGCCCGCCGCGCTCTGCCTCTGCCTCTGCCCGTCGACGGCGGCGCGATCGCCGCCGGCGCGGCGTCGCGATCTTCCGTCGCGCGTCCCGCGCCGCCGCGTCGCCGAACGAGAATCGACGGCGCCGCGGCCCCGCCGCTCTGCCGCGACGAAGACCGCGTCGCGCGCGCGCCGCCGCCGCGAGCGCCATCCCCGGACGCCCTCGCCGCCGCCGCCGCGATCTCCCCGGCTCTCGACGCGAGGCTCGCGTCCGCGCGTTGCAGCGCACATCGCATCAGGTTCGGCTTCACAGGTCGCAACACCTGCGTCGCGCTCGCGACGACGGAGTCGTACATCGCCGAGTCCAGGTCGGACCCGTTCGCCGCGGCAGCGCGGTGGCTCGCCGCGATGTGTGGAGTGATCTTCTTGTTCGCGATCAACACCAGCGGCGGCATCGGGACGCCGCGCGTCGCCCACTCCGACGCGAACGCGCCCAACAGCTTCTCGTCCACCACCAGCGACACCGCGCCGGCGTGGTCCCTCGCGACGCGCGCCACCGCGTCGCAGACGTCCGATGCCCAGCTCTGTGTCTGATGGCGCATCATCGCGTGCGGGAACGATTCGCCGTGGCGTAAGCGCTCGCTCGTCGCGCCCCCCGCGTTGGCGACGTTCGCGATCGCCGCCGCCAAGCTCTCCTTGGCGACGAGCGTCGCGACGCACGACGTGTGCGGCGTCGCGTACGTCGGCGTCGGGAGCGGGGCATAGGACGCGGTCGCGACGCCGCCGGGACCGGGACCGGGTCCGGGCCCCGACCCCGACCCCGACCCTCCCGCGCCCGCGATTTCCAGCGAGAGCTTCAGCGTCATCGTCGTGCCGCGCCCCAACGTCGACGCACACTCGATCGAGCCACCCAACGCGTGCATGATGTTCGACGTGATCGCGAGGCCCAGCCCGGTGCCGCCGTACTCGCGCGTGCTTCCTATGCTCGCCTGCCCGAACGGCATGAAGACGACGCCGAGCTTATCGTCCGGGATGCCGATGCCGTCGTCCACGACGTGGCACGTGATGGACATTCGCGGGTGGTTACGTTCGCCCGCAACCCCGCCCACGCCGGGCGCCGTCTCCATCGCGCTCAGCTCGCGCGTCTCCGTGATCGCGAGGCCGGTGGCCCAGGACCGACGCTTCGCCGTCTCTCGCGCCAGCCGCTCGCGCTTCTCGCGCGCGATCCTCTCGCGCTCGTCCTCGGGCTTCGCGGCGACGACGACGCGAACCTCGCCGCCCTCGCGCGTGAACTTGATCGAGTTGTTCGTCACGTTGATGAGCGCCTGTCGCAGTCGGAATTTATCCCCGCGAAGGACGACGCCGTCCAACGAGGGGTCGACGTCGACGACCATCTCCACCTGGTTCTTATTCGCCTGGTGCCCGACGATGTCCACGAGCTCGTTCATCATCTCGTGCACCTGAGTCAAAGGCGTCAGAAGCGGAGTTGAAAGGCGGGCGTCGAGGTGTGTCGGGATTGAAAGCGAGGGACCCTGGGCGGAGAGAGACGAACGCCGGGAGAGAAAGTCCTTAAGGATCGGCGTTCACCGCGCCGACGCGGTCGCACGGGGACCGGCGTGAAGGAGAACGCGCGCACCTCGAAGTTTTCAACGACGAGCTCCTGGTGCGTGTCGCTGCCGGACTCGAGCTTAGCGAAGTCGAGGATCTGCCCGATGATGCCCAGGAGCGCCTCCGCGCTGACGATGGCGCTCGAGACGAACTCCCTCTGCGCCTCGGACAACGTCTCGTCCTCCAGAAGCATCGAGTTGAACGCGATGATCGAGTTCAGCGGCGTTCGGAGCTCGTGCGAGATGTTCGCGACGAACGCGCGGTGCAAGTTGGAGACGCTCTCCGCCTCGCTCTTGGCTTTCTCCAACGTTCGCAGCGCGAGTTGGGAGACCCTCGAGAGCTCGAGCGCGTCCGTGAACAAGCCCTCGTCCAGACGCATCAAACCGTCGCACGCGTTTATGAGCCAAAAGTTCGAGTAGATGAGATTCACCGAATACATCAGCTTCGCGAACATGTCCGCGGCGGTCATCAGAAGGAACTGCGTCGCGGTGTCGATGTACCCAATCTCGCGTAACCCCTGAATCACGGGAAACAGCGTCCACGTGACGTACGTCCACCGCTCGAGCGAGTGCAACACCGCGCGGTCCCGCGGCGAACGCACTCTCTGCAGGATGCACGCGAAGAGGACTCTGAATCCGATCATGAGACCCAGAAACAGAAACGTCGACGTCGAGAGCGCGATGACGCGAACCCAGTACGAGCGCGTCAGCAGTCCCAGCGCGCCGGCGAGGAGCATGAGGTTGTTCACGAGCGCGACGAGCCAGACGTCCCACGCCGTGGCCATCACCTCGTCCTCGCCGATGGTCTTTCGGAAACTCGCCGCGCCGTCTCGAAACGCGATGTCGAAGACGCGCTCGACGTGGCCCATCATGCGGACGACGAAGCCGACGACGCCGCCGAATGTTTTCGCGTCCGAGTCGCACTCGTCCCCGGTCCCGGATCCGCGGCGGCGGCGGTCGCCGCCGCCGTCGTCGCTGCGGTCGCCGCTGTTCGTCGTCGGCGTGCCCGCGCCCGCGCCCCCCGAAGCGCGATTACTGCCGCTTCGAAGCGCGCGGATGATGCTCTCCGCGCCCTTTCTCCCGCCTCTGATGGACCCGCCGGCGGCGGCGGCGGCGGATCTCGGCGACCCTCCGTCGTCGTCGTCGTCGCCGCCGCCGCCGATGAGCCGCTCCTCCAGCGCGTTCTCCCAGACGCGATCGTCCTCCTCCTCCTTATCGAACTGATGCCGCGTCGTCAGCAACAACATCGCGATCTTCGATATCATCAGCGTGGACGTCACCGGCCACACCGCGACGACGCGCATCGCGCTGTACTCCAACGCGCCGTCGCGTTCGCTCGCGACGGTTGGCACGAGATGGAAAAAGTCAAGCGCGTAGTACATCAGCGACCAGAGACAGATCATCGAGTGATACATCAGCAGCGACGTCTTCAGCGGGCCGGCGCGGAACCCCGGGATGACGCCGCTGACCGCGGTCGTGAACAGCGACGCGGCGTAGAACGACATCGCGGCTATCTTCGTCATCGCGAGCGTCTGCTCTTCGTCGTCGCGGACGCTCGGCGGTACGACGCTTTTCGTCGCTCGCGTCGCCATCGCTCGCGTCGCGCGCGCGATGCTGTCGCGGTACGACGACATCCCCTCCCCCGCGAAGAAGCATCGCGGGATGCCGTGGAACGGGCGCTCCGGCGTGAACAGGGCCGCGTCGCCTGGCGAAGGGATCGACTCGGCGCAGTACTCGTGCAGCGCGATGCAGCCCGCGAGGACGCACACGGCGGATATCACCGACGGGACGACGAACGCCGCGAGGTTGGTCTTCATCGTGCGCTTGGCGGAGTCGCGCTCGCGGCCCGACGCCGCGCGGAGGTTCACGAGCCGCTGCACCGCGTTCCATCCTTGGCTGCGGGCGGGGGGGCGGGGGCGTCCGGTCGCGGGCGATGAGAAGAGAAGAAAGCGCGCCGGCGCGCTGCCGCGTCGGAAAAGCGCGGCAGATGATCGACGAGGATGAAAATTCGGTGCGGGTCGGGAGGCGGGGGCGGCGGGGGGGGGGGCGGGGGGAGCGCGAGGGCGTCGCGCGCGCGCACCTATCCCGCAGGAACACGTCGTTCGCGCGCACCATCGCGGAGTCGCCGTCGCGAGCGCGCGTCCCTCGTCGCGCGTCGCGGGTGTGTGTGTCGTTTGGGTAAAGTGGGTGACGCCTCGTTTTTTCTTCGCCTACTCGTACCTGGACCACGCACACCACGTGGTGTTCGGGAGATCGCGCTCGAGATCGCGATTTCCCCACGTGCAAACAGTCTGCAAAAAAATTAATTTAACAAGGGGTGCGCAGTTTTTGAGGATGAGTTTCAAACCACTGTCCCGATCGAGACCGCCGATCAACCCGACCCGCGCTTCCCCGAACTGACCGACGGCCAAAGCGCCGGTGACGCTGATGATGGGAAACCCTGGCCTGGGGAAACGGAAACCGCCGAAAGCGAAAAGGCCGTTGGTTTCGCGGCATTGGCGTCGTCGCCCCCCCCCGCCCGACCTCGGACGGACGACGCGTCGCGCCGGGCGGAGAGAGACGACACGATGCATCACACGACGCCGAACCCGCTGGGCCCGACGCCGCGGTCGAAGCCCACGTCCAAGGCGGCGAGCCCGCTGCCGCTCACCGCGCTGACGGACAGCGGCGCGTACAACAACGACGGGATCGGACACTCGCTCGTGGGCGCCGCGTGGTCGATACCGACCGGCCTCAGCGCGTCCGAGGAAGCGATCGCGCGCAAGGAGACGCTCCTCCTGCGGAGAGAGACGCACACGCTCGCGAAGCGCGCGAATCACGTCGACGACGTGCTGTCGCAGATGAAGCAGGACAAGAAGGGGACGACGCGCGCGCTCGAGGCCAAGGCGCGCGAGGCGAATTTCCTTCGACGAGAGGTCGAGCGCGTCGTCGCGGAGAGAGACGCCATGGTCGCGAGCGTGAGCGCCGACCGCGCGTACATCCGGCGCTTAGAGCACAAGATGACGGCCGGCGGGCCGGACAACGCGGAGCGATGCGCGACGCTCCGCGCGCGCGTCAAGGAGCTGAAGGACGCCGTCGCCGCCGTCAAAGCGTCGGAGGCGGAGAAGGCGGCGGAGATCGAATCCCTCCGCGGAGACAAGGCGTCGCTCGCGCACGCGCTCGAACTGAGAGCCGCGCAGCTCAGCGCGGAGGGCGGCGGCGACGTCCCCTCGCGCCTGCTCTACGCCGTCGCGAAAGGGAGAGAGGAGGCGGTCTCGCTCGCGGTGCAACTCGCGGAGAAGCACGACGCGTTGACGCGAGAGAAGGAGGAGTGCGAACGCCTCCGCGTGCGCTGCGAAGAGTGCGAACGCGCGAAAGAGGACGCGATGATGGAGGCGGCGCGCGTGCACGCGAACGTGAGCGACTTGGACAAGCGGACGGCGGCGCTGAAGACCACCGCGGAGGCTGAGGTGACGGACGCGCACGAGGCGTTGGCGAAGGCGTCCGAGTTGGCGTTGCAGTTTGAACGCGAAACCGTGACCCTACGCGCGGCGTTGGACAAAGAGAAGCTGCACTCGCGGTCGTTAGAGCTCGCGCTCGGGGAGACGGAGACGGGCGTGAGCGAGGAGCTGGAGGGAATGAAAAAGGAGATGGACGCCGCGGTCGCCGCGACGGAGGCGGAGGCGGCGAAGGCGACGCGCGAAGCCGCCGCCGAGCGCGACGAATGGCGGCTGAAAGCGGCGCGGCTCGAGGCTGAGCTCGAGGCGGCTCGAAAGATCGCCGCCGCCGCGGAAGAGGCGAGCAAGACGCACGACGGCGTCGCGGCGCGCAGGGCGGAGATCGCGGAGGCGGAGGCGGCGCGCCGCGCGGAGCAGGCGGAGGCGCTGGAGGAGGAGGCGGGGAATCTCACCGCGCAGATCGAAGCCTTCGCCGTCGTCAACGCGCGTCTGCAAGACGCCGCGGCGTCGGCGCAGTCGCGCTTCGACGCGGAGGTGGCCAAGTGCGCGAACCTCCGCGCGCAGGTGCAGACGCTCGAGGCGCAGATGGCGGCGACGCGCGCGGAGAAGACAACGGGCGAGGGCGACTTGAAGAGGAAACTGCGCGGCGCGTTGGAGGAGCTGGCGACGGTCATCGCGCAACGCGACGAGCAGAGGCTCGCGCTCAAGGAGACGATGAGCCGGTGCGCGAGCGCGATGGCGCGAGCGGACCGCGCGGACGCGAACGAGAGCTCGTTGAAGAGTCTCGTGGATAACCTCACGCGGAGCAAGACGCTGTTGCAGGAGACGATGGTGGAGCAGTTGGCGTCGGTGCGGACGCAGTTGGAAAACGCGCAGGCGCAGAACGCCGAGCTGGAAGCGGCGGTGACGCGGCAGCGGATCGCCGCGGAGAAACTGCAGGGGCTCGTCGCGGACCGAGGGTCGTTCACGCCCGTGGCGTCGCCGATGTCGCCGTCGCCGCGGTGACGCGACGCGCGGGGAGGTCGAAACCGTGAACTAAGTCAGTACATACTACGACGACTCCTATGATAACGAGCCGTCTCGTCCGCCTACCGACCGTAATCCTGTTCCCACGTCGCCGCGTTCATCCACGCGTCCGGGTCCTCGTACTCGAACTGCTCCCACGGCGCCGGGTCCCTCGCCCACCCGGTCCCGCGCGAGTCGTACGCCCCGCCGCCGCCCGCCAGCGAGGGGTTCTCGTGATACGCGTCTCGGTTTCCCCGGCATCCCCCCGCGCCGCCGCCGAGCCGCCCCCGCGTCGACCGAGGCCCGACGCCGCCGTACTCGGAGAAGTACCCGTCGCCGTCCGGCGCGCACTCCGCGTCCGCGAGCGCTTCGACGGCGCCGTCGCCGCCGAGGTCGCACCCCTCGAAAACCACGCCGACGAAAGTAGCGCCGCCGGGGCCGTGCGCGCGTCCGGGGCGCTCTTCGAACGTCGGCGGGACGTTCACCGACACGCGCTGGTCCGCGAAGAGCGCGCGGGAGCCGAGCGCGTACGTCTGCGGGGGCCCGCCGCCGTCCGCGCGCTCGCGCGCCGCCGCGTCGACGCAGTCTATCACGACGAGAGCCTCCGGTCCGGCTCTTCTCCTATGAAAAGTCGTCGTCGCGTCGCTGCCGACGACGGTCGCGAACGCGCCGTCCGGGAGGTCGAGCGGCGCGTTCCCGTCGCCCGCGTACACGCCGGGGGCTGAGGGGGGGGGAGGCGGGGTGGAGTTCGGTGGCGCGTCAGTTGGGGTCGCGAGGCGTCGAGGTCGGGGATTGAACCGGCGCGTGGCAACTGAACGCACCTAACCGAATCACGTCTCGGTTCGTCCACTCCCTCGGTTTGGCGCCGTCGACCGCGCCGCGGTCGACGTCGCCGAGGGCGTCGTACGCCGCGCTGCTCGCGCCGAACGACGCGCGGCGGCGGCGTCGCGGCGAGGGCGAGGACGCCTCCGCGTCCGCGTTCGGACGCGTCGCGACGGCGTCGACTAAGATCGCGTCGAGCGCGGATTGAACATCGGAGAACGGATCGTCCGGCGTCCCGCTCGAACCCCCCGCGCCCGCGGAGACGTACACGTCGCAGTGCAGAAACTCCGCGAACGTGCTCGAGTACGTCGCGCCGTCGTTGGAGACGGAGACGCGCGAGCTGAGGGCCATTCCATACAAAAAAAGTTCACCGGTCAGTTGAAACGAGATGCGATCAAGTGTTGAAACCGAGCGATGGGTGAAAAACTTTTGTAGATAACGCACCTGAAGCACGGTGACGCGCCGCCCGGGAAATCGCCCGTCGCGCCTGTCCACGCGCCCGCGGCGTCGGCGCCTCCCCTCGGCGCGACGCGCGGCGCGACGCACGTCACCTCCGTCGCGCTCGCGAACGTCGCGCGCGATCGCGTCGTCGACGGCGGAGGGTCCGCCAGCCCGGGACCCGCGCCGGGGTCGAAGAACGCGCACGACAGCTCGTTCGACGACTGAAAGTTCGCGCCTCGGATCGTCACCGTCGAGCCGCCTTCGAACGGCCCGCGCGCGTCGACGCCCGCTGACTTCAACCCGGGCGCGACGCGCGCGCTCGTCGCGATCGATAACACCGTGGGGATTACGTCCTCGTACCGGAACCGCACGAGCGCGGCGTTCGGCATCGGCGAAGACGCGTGCGGGTCTGCGGCGGCTTCGGCGACCAAATCGTCAAACGTCGCGCCGTCGTTGGAAATCGTCACGACGCAGTCCCGCCCGACGACGACCGACCCTGAGGACCCAAACGACCCCGGCGCGTCCGGCCCGATCGACGGCATCGGCGGCGAGACGCATCGTACGCGAGCGTAATCCTCCCAGCGCGTTTCCGAGGACGCGTTCGCCGCGACGCCGACCACCGCGCCGGACGCCGCGTCGACGACGGGGCACGCGAATCGACACGCGAGCCTCCCGCCGGGGAGGAACGTTCCGGTCGTGGGCGGGCCGACGCCGATTGACGTCCGCGACGCGAGGTTTACGCGGCCCGCGAGGCCGGGGCCGCCGGTCGGGGCGGCGTCGTCGACCCCCGGCGGGCGCTTTCCCGCGCCGAGGACGTCGGTCAGCGTCGCCGCGACGACGCCGCCGCCGCCGTTCGCGTTCGCGTCCCACCCGACCGCCTCGACGTGAAACGCGGTTCCGCCCGCGTCCGGCCCAACGACCGGCCCTCTCGCGACCCACCGCTCGCGGACGCGCCGATCGATCGCGGTCGCGCGTTGGAACCCCGCGGGTCCGCATCCCGGGCACCCCGGCGGCGAGTCGTCGAAGAGGAAGCGCAACGCCGCGCCCGCGCCGTTCGCGACGACGTAGTTCACCCCATGACCGCCGAACGCGCCGTCGCCGTTGCTCACGGTGACGTGCGTCGACTCCGCGAACGCGCGCCGCGGGGTCACGCATCGCACCTCGCCGGGAGAGACCCACACGCCCGGGACGACGTCGACGCCGCCGCCCGTCGACGCGAAGCGAACGACGAGTCCGGGCCCGCGCGCGAACCCGGCGCCAGAGATGGTGAGCGTCGCGCCGCCGCCGACGTGCGCGCGCGGCGGGAAGAGCGACGCGACGACCGGCGCGCGCGCGCCGCCGACGTGCGCGCGCGATCGCCCCTGCGACGCGGCGTCGAACCCTCCGTGCGCGCGCGCGGCGTTCGAGGACGCGCTGAGGAGGAGGAGGAGGAGGACGCGCGCGATGGTCCCGCGGCCCGAGGGGGGGCGCGTCGTCGTCGTCGTCGTCGTCGTCGTCGTCGTCGTCATCGCGGCCGCGCGCGTCGCGCCGCGCGTCACCGCGTCGCCGCGCGCGCGGTTCCGCGTCGTCCGAGCGCGGACATGCCGGCGGTCGCGGGAGCGCGCGACGAGCCCGATGGACGCGAGGGGGCGTCGTCGCTTGTGAGGGGCGGGGCGTCCGAGAGGACGAACTCTCTCGACGAGAAACGGCTGCTGCGCGGCGACGTTCAGGTGAACAAAAGTTTTTGACCCATACCTCGGTTTCAACACTTGATCGCGTCTCTTTTCAACTGATCGATGAATTTTTTTTGTATGGAACGACCCTCAGTTCGAATGTTGTTGACCGGCGCACTCCGACGATCGCGGCGCCGCCGCGTCGACGCCGCCGCCGCCGCCGCCGCCGACGACGACGACGACGACGATCATGATGCACCCGAGCGACGCGTCGTCCTCCGCGTCGTCGCGGTTCTCCCCCGTGGACGCTCTGACGCGCCTTCAATCTCTCCAAGGGCTCTGCGCGAGGCTCGATCTCGACGCGCTCCTCTTCGTCGGCGGCGTCGACGGGCGCGACAACCTCGGCGCGACGCGCGCGATCAACTTTCTCCTCGGCGGCGTCTCCGGGTTCGATCTCCTCGAGCGCGAGAAGCTCGTCGTGGACTGGGGCGAGGACGTCGTTTTGCTCGTGCGAAGGGACGGCGTTGAGATCCACCTGTCTGAACGCGCGTACGACGCCGCGCTGCCGCTCATCGCGTGCTGGGGGGACGTCGTCGTGCACACGCTGCCTCCGCGCGCGCTGGCGGAGGAAGGCGGCGCGGAAGAGGGCGGCGGCACGATGGCGATGGCGATGGCGATGGCGACGGCGACGGCGGCGGCGGAGGAGGAGGAGGAGGAGGACGGCGACGACGACTCGGAAGACGACGACGACGCTTCAGACGACGCCTCCGAGTCTGACGACGACGACGACGACGCGGCGCAGGACTTCAAGCTGTCCGCGCTCGTCGCGATGCTCACCGGGGTCGAATCCGTCGGCGTCGCGCTCACCCCCGGGTCGAAACACGTCCCACCGGTCATGGAGACGGAGACGTGGCCGCTACTCCAAGCGTACGGCCTCGAAGGCGTCGGACGCTCGGGCTTCTTCACGATCAACACGCGAGTCGTGGACGTCTTCTCGGAACTGCACGCGGGGGTGTTCGCGCAGCTCGACAGCGCGGCGCTTCGACGCGAGGCGACGGATAAGGTTCCGTCGCTGCGGATGCACTGGTCGGCGCTCGTGCGCGGGTTGGACGACGCGTCCACGAGCGAGCAGCGCGCGGGACGGAGCGAACGCGTCGTCGCGGAGCCGCTGACGGAGTTTTTTTCGTACGGAAATTTAAGACGGCCGATCGGTTGCCGCGCGTTCGAGGACTCGCAGCTCCCGCGGCTGAGCTTCGGGGTTCGGACGGACGCGGAGGTCGTGGACGCCGCGGAGGAGGGCGACGGGAGGGTGAGCGACGTCGTCGCGCGAGACGCGGGGCGAGGCGGGCCGGCGGGCGGCGAAGGCGAAGGCGAAGGCGAAGGCGAAGGCGAAGGCGAAGGCGGGGCGAAACACTTCGTCGTCGAGGCGTGCCACCCGAAGAGCCCCGGGTTGCGGTGCGCGCGGACGTATTTCCTCGCGAGCGACGCCGTGCGTCTCGCCGCGAGACGCGGGTTCGTCCCTTCCGCGTCGCTCGATCGCGTCGAGAGGAGCGACGAGAAGAAGGAGGGAGGCTGCGATCGGGACGACGACGACGACGGCGACGACGCGGACAGGACGAACGCCGACGCCGACGACGCCGACGCGACGGAGGCGAGGGAGAAGCGAGAAGAGGCGGCCGCCGCGGCGAGACGCGACGCGATCGACGCGCGCGCGCTGTACGCCGCCTACGCCGGGTGCGTCGCGGTGTCGCGGCACGTCATGGACGCGTGCGCGAACCGTTGGGCGGCGCCCAACGGCGACGGGCCGGAGACGTGGGCGAACTCGAACTCGAACTCGAATTCGAACGCCGCCGCCGCCGCCGCCGCCGCGTCGCCGCCGTACGACCGCGCGCGCATTGAAACCGCGTTCACGACCGCCGTGTCCGCCGCCGTGGACGACGACGAAGACGTATTAGAAGAGATGCGCGACGTCGCGTCGTACCTCTCCCTCCGCGCGCGCGACGTGCGCGTAGAGTTGACGTCGCGCGCGCCCTCGAACGAGCCGCCGTCGCGCGCCATCGCCGCCGACGGCGCGCTTCGACCCGCGCTTGCGCTCGCCGCGTGCCGCGTGTCCCTCCGTGGCGTCCGCGGGCTGGGCGCGGTCGTCGTCGAGGACACGTTCGTCGCGCCCTCGGGACCTGGACGCGGCGGCGGCGCGCTGGTGCTCACCGAAAGCGTCCCGTTGACGCGCGCGTGGCCGGGCGAGGGCGCGGAGGCGGAGGCGGTGGAGGGGACGCGCGACGCGATGGAGAAGATCGCGCGCGACGCGCTGACGCAGTTCAAGAGAGCGACGCGCGCGAAGAAGAGGGCGAGGCTGGAGGCGGAGGCGGCGAAGGCGAGGGCGGCGAAAGAGGCGGAGGATGCGAAAGAGGCGAAAGAAGCGGTCGAGGACGAGGACGAGGGCGCGGTCGCGGCCGCCGCGGGCGTCGACGACCCGCCGGACGCCGCGGACGACGACGACGACGGCGTCTTCCTCGACTCGGAGCTCGACGTCACGGACGACGACGACGATGACGCGGAGGACGAAGAAGACGAAACGACGACGACGCGGGAGGCTGCCGCTCTTCCGGGACGCGACGACCGCGCGGACCCGAGCGACGATGTCGAGCCGCTCGGTCCGGTGTCGTCGCGGTTCGTCCTCCCGGACGCGCTCGCGCCCGGGCCCGACCTTCTCACGCCGAGACCGATCGACGTCGTCGCGTTTCCGCTGCTGCTTCCCGAGCGCGAGCGCGAGCGCGACGACGGCGGCCGCGGCCGCGGTCTCGAGGACATAGAGGACCTCGAGGACCTCGAGCTCGCGCGCGTCGCGGTCCAGGGGACCACGGGCGTGGAGATGACGGGGACTTGGCGCGCCTTCTCGAACGGCGCGACGTACGCGCCGCCGCGCGGCCCCCCCGCGCCGTTGATTTTCGGCGAAAACGTCGCCGCCGTCGACGCGCACGGCGGCGTCGGCGACGGCGACGACAAAACCGACGCCACGGAGGCGCTCATCGTGTTCACCTTCAAGGAGAAGGAGGGCGGAGGACGGCGGCGCGCGGATCCTCCGCTGTGCATCTCGCTCGCGCGCGCGCCGATCAAGGCGCGGCGCGTCTTCCTTCGCGAGGTGGTTCCGAGGTGCGTTCTATACACTGGTCCCCATACGACCCCGTTCGCGTGGTGAACGCCGATCCTTAAGGACTTTGCCCGGCGCGTCTCTCCGCCCATCCCTCGCTTTCAATCCCCGCCATCGACGCCTTTCAACTCCATCTGACGCCTTTCAACTCCTTTCAACGCCTTTCAAGGTGGAAGAAACACATCGCGGAGTTTTCCCTCGACGTCGCGTTCAGGCCGTCGCTGCCGCGGTTCGAGCGCGCGCGGCTGACGCGCGAGGCGCGGCTCGCGATCGACGCCGCGCGCGCGGACCAGGTTGGCGCGGCGCGCGTTCGACCGACGCGAATGCGCGCGTCGTCGTTCGCGTCGGACGACGCCGTCGAACGCGCGGCGGCGCGCGACGTCGGCGGCGCGACGTTCGCGACCGACGACGACGGAATCCCAACCGTCGCGCCGGCGCGAGGAGAGTCCCAAGCGTCACGCTCGCACCACCACGTGATCGACGTCCCCGTGACGTTGCTCGTCGGCACGCTGGACGGCTGTCAGGACGAGGTGGCCGGCGCGCTCGATCGCTTCGCGAGCGGTTCGGCGTCGTGGATTCGATGCGAGCCGCCCGTCGACGACGCCGGCGGCGGCGCGTGCGCGTTCGACGCCGCGCTCTGCGAGCGCGCGCTGTGGCGAGACGCGCTCCCGAAGTGCGCGCGCGCGGTCGCGTCGAGGCCGCCGAGGGTGGTGTTCATCGCGCGGACGCGGCAGCCCGCCGCGGAGGTTGGCGCGGCGCTGCGAGACGCGTGCGCGGCGGCGACGGCGCGGACGGCGGCGCTGTCGGCGCCGCCGTTCGCGCGCTTCGTCCTCGGCGCGATCACGACGTGCGTCGCCGCGGACGGGTTCTTCGTCGAGGCGGAGCGAAGGCCGAGCCCTTCGGCGCTGGCGCAGCTGTGCCCGCCCGCGGCGAACAACGTCGTCGTGTTGCCTCGCGGCGGACATCGCTGCGGCGCCGCCGCCGCCGCCGACGCGTCCTCCGCGGGGCCGTCCATCGCGGAGCTCACGCGCGACACCCTGGAGTGGGTCCGCGCCGCGGTCGCGGTCGCGGTCGCGAGGACGCGCGCCGACCCGGTGTCGGTGATCGTCGGCCAGCGCGCGCTGAGAGACGGCGCGCTCGGGGTCACGGAGGGGACGAACCTGCTGCCGCCGCCGTCGCCACCGCCGCCGAAAGCCGCCGCCGCCGCCGCCGCCGCCGCGGGCGCGCGTCTTCTTCTTCCCCCCTCCCCGGAGTGGTCGACGCGTCTGGCGCGCGCGACCGCGTCCGCGTCCGCGCGCGATCGCGCCGGGGCGCGACACGTCACCGCCGAGGGCGACGTCGACGTCGCGAAGCTTCTCCTCGCGCTGCGGCGTTTATTCCGAGACGGCCGCCGACCGCCGCCGCTCTCCCCGTCGACGCTTGCGACGATGACGCCGGACCAGAGATCGATTTACTCCCTGACGCGGTTCGCGAATAAGGACGCGGACGCATCGGTTGTTCTGGAGCACGTGCGCGTGCGCGCCGCCGTCCGCGAAGAAGAAGAAGACGACGACGCGGAGGGAGAGGGCGTTAACGACGCGGAAGGAACGCCGGGGGGGGGCTCCCCGGGGGCGCCGCCGCGGACGACGGTTAAGACGTATTCGTTCAACTTCTCCTCCGCGGCGCCCTTCGCGGTCGGCGCCGCCGCGGTCGAAGCCAACAAAGTCGCGGTCGCCGCGTCTTCGGTGAGCGTTTTCGCGGTGGGGAAGCACGTCGCGGATCAAACGCGGCTTGACCTCGCGTCCGTCCTTCGCGCGTGCGCGCGCGACGGTCCGCCGCTCGTGAAGAAAAAGACGCGACGCGACTGGACGCCGGCGGATGAGGACGCGGTCGTCGAGCGGCTCGAGGTGGAGCAGCGAGAGCGCGGGCTCCCGCGCGGGTGGTACTACGACGGCGCGAAGTACGTGTCGCACGACGGCGAGTCGTCGACGCGACACCCGCGGTACGACGACGCGGTGGAGGAGCGGTTGACGGAGCTGAACGTCGCCGTCGACGCGGAAAACGTTTGGAGGGAAGACGCGAGACGACACGCGAAGGGCGTTCGCGTGACGCTGGACCGAGCGTTTCCGGCGTGAGTGACGACGCGGACGAGAGAGGTTTCCTGTATGGGTTCGGAGGTGCTCGCTCTCTGCGCGAGCGGTGGAATGCGCGGGCGGTACGTTATTATTTGAAAACGCACGACGCGCGTCCGTTATTATATCGCTCGTCACCAGACGATGGTCTCGTCCTGCCAGTCCACGAACGTCCCGCTGTCCGCGAGTCGTTTCTTCCCGATGATCCCCAACAGCTGCGACGCCGCGCGCTCGACGCTGAACAACTTCCCCTCCGGCACGTTCCTCCGAAACGGCGCGCTCAGGTCCGTCGCGACCGTCCCCGGGTGCAACAGCACGAACGCGACCGGGTGCTTCTTCCGTCCAAACTCGATCGACATGTTTTTCGTGAGTTGATTCAGCGCCGTCTTCGACGCGCGGTACGCGTACCTGGAGGGCGGGCGGGCGAGCGAGCGGGTCGATGTCGGTGAAACGGGATCGCGTCGAAAGGAACGAACGAACGGTCGTCGCGGGGGGACGCCGTCGGGGGCGGAGTGAAAAAAGAAGAAAAGAAAAAAACGAAAAAACGCACCACCCGCCCATGCCGTTGTCGCCCACGGAGCTCACGCGCGCGCTCAAGTTGGCGACGATGGCGTGGCAGCCGCCGCCGCTCTCGCCGCTCTCGCCGCTCTCGCCCCCCCCACCTCCCGCGACGCTCTTCGCGGTCGCCTCCATGAGCATCGCCTGGAACGCCTTCGTCACGAGCACGGGCCCGAGCGCGTTGACGCGATACGCCCTCACCATCGCGTCGGGATCCACGCGATTTATGGACGTCTCCGGCGTCATCTCCCCCGCGACGTGAAGCACCGCGGCGACGTTCGAGAGGACGTCCACGCGCCCGTGCGACGCCTTCACCGACTCCGCGACCGCGACGATCGACGCCTCGTCCGTGACGTCGAGGCGGTGCACGGCGAGGCGCGTCGGGTAGCGCTCGCGGAGATCCGCGAGCGATCGCGCAGCCGCGGGGTCGCGGCACGTCGCGACGACGCGCCCGCCGCGAGCCGCGTCGCGCCCGGGCATCGGGTTTTCGCGCTCGAGGAGCTGCCGGACCATCTCGAGGCCGATCCCTCGCGACGCGCCCTGGACGAGCGACACGTGCTCGCTTCGGACGACGTCGGGCGCGGGCGGCGCGGAGGAGACGTCAGACGACGACGACGACGCGGACGCGGACACATCGGACGTCGTCATCGCGCGCGTCGACGCCGCGGCGCGGCGGCGGCACGCGGACGTCATCGCGCGCGTCGCGCGCGGGCGCAGCGCGGACGTCATCGCGGTGCTGAGCGTCGCCATCATCCACGCCGAGGTTTCTCGAGGCGTGCGCGCGCGCGTCGTCGGCGTCGGCGCGAGCGCGAGTGTCGTGAACGCAGAACGCGAGTCGCGCGCGTCATCAGGTGGCGCCACGTCGAGAAAACGAAACCTGAAAACGAATGTCGTGGCGCACTTTTTCGACGCCGCGTCAGAAGAGCGCCCGTTCGGCGGCGGAGAACGTGGCCGAACGCGCGTATTCCTCCGCTTTACTACTACGTTACAGACGTTACAACACGCGACGAGGATCCGCTAGGTGCTATGTGGTTCCTCGCGCGTCGCTACTGCTGGTATCCTACCGCCCGCCGTCGTCGCGTCGGCGCGCCCGCTGCGGAGGCGGAGAAAGTTCGGGCGTCGGCGCGTCAGGTTTTAGGCGAAAAGAAGCGACGAAGAGCGCGTCCGTCCGTCGTCGGAGTGCGCGAGCGAGCGGGCGTGTCGCGTCGTCGTCGTCGTCGTCGTCGTCGTCGTCGTCGTCGTCGTCGTCGCGGCGCGCGTCACCTCAGACATCCAAGGAAGATAGGCCTGCACAAGTTCTCGACTGGGCATCCAGAACGAATCTGGCAGGAAAACTCTGAAGTTCGGGCACTGCGAATGGTGTTTCTGAGAAACGCCCTTCTTAGACTTCATCACCGGTGACGTTCGTTTTCCTCGCGTCGCGACGTTGACTTCGCCGACTTCGACTTGGACTTCGACGCGAACGATGCGCGAACGGGCGAGCGTGAAACATGAGTAGTGATGGTCGAAAGAAACGAACGCGCGGCCGCGGCTGTCGTCGCGCGTGTCGGCGGTTTCACAGTTTTCTCAATCACGAGAAATCTGAGGGAATCCGATTTGTGCGTGTCGTCTTCCACGGCGACGACGCGAGCCGCCGCGCCGAAACGAAACGAAACGCGCGAACGGACGGACTGCGCGACGCACCTGGCGCCAGATGACGCGATGAGACGACCGAAATGCGCGTGGTCTCGCTCGTCGGCGGGGCCGCGCCGTTCCCTCGCGGGCGGGGCGGCGGCCCGACGGACCTGGACGCGGAGGGCGGGGCGGAAAGAAAGGACTTCAGGGTGAGTCGAGGCGTGAGTCGAGGCGCGAGGCGAAACCAGACGAAGAGACGAAACGAGACGGGTGACGAAGCGAGCCGCCGCTTCGAGTGCGCCCGCCTCGGCGTGTGTGTAACAAAGGAAGGGTTATCAGCACCGGTTTCCCTTGGAGAAATCCGCTAATGCTTCTCCTCATCGGCGTTCGATTCGATTCGACGAGTCGCGGGCGGGACCGACGGAACGGAACGGAACGGCACTCGGCTCGGCTTCCCTCGCGAGCGTCAGTTAGAGCTAATACGTAAGAGATCAACACGAAGTAACACCGGGCCGACCAAGGCTGGAGTCTTCTGATCAAATTAGTATTATTCATCCCCCACGCGCGAAGGAAGGACGCGAAGTACCGAGCGAAAAAAAAAACTCCGATCGACGACGGACCGACCCGACCCGACGACGTGCCGACCGACCGCGCGTGCGTAGGGCTTTAGGTGGTCAACACGACGATCACCGGCCTTGGCGAGTTCTGCCAGGGATAACTAAAGGTTGAATCGTCATTCGCACGCGCGGTCGGGCGGACGCCCCCGGAGTCGTCGAGTCGAGTCGAGTCGAGTCGGGGCGACGACGCGATTCGGGGGCGAACTCGGGCGAAGACGCGACGAAGACCGCGCTGCCGCGCACCTCCGCGCGATCGCGCGAACGCGCGCGTCACTCTCTTTGATACCGATACGACTCACTCGTCGTCCTCCGCGGCCATCGCCTGCAAGTTCGTCGGGTTCCGCGAATCCCGAGCCTTGTACTCTTTCAAGCTCCGCAGCGGCCGCCCTTTGTTCACCTTCTTCGGAAGAAAGCGAAGGATGCGCTCGTCCGTCCTCAGGTCGTACGTGATGACGTCGATCACCTCCGGCTTCGCGTTGAACGACATCTGCATGTAGTTCGCCTGCGAGTCGCGCGCGGGGGGATTCGCGGAGGAGGAGGGTGAGCGCGCGGTGGGAGGGACGCGTCGAACGGCGACCACGTACGTCGGGTTCTGTTCGCGGGAAACGATGAAACGCGGTCGTTCGATTCGATTAGGTCTCGACGCGCGCGCGGAAACGACGCGCGAACGCGCGACGCGACGATTCGACGCGCCGAGCGAGCCGACGACGCGCACCTCCAGGTGCCCTTGCCCCTGTTTCCTGATCTGATACGCCAGCGTCTGCGTCCCGAACGACGTGATGTCCGTGATGACGCCGCCCGCGTCGAGGACGCGATGGCCCATCTTCCGCAGCACGTCCGCCATCTGAGACCGCGGGACCGTGCTCTTGACCGCGATGAACATGTCGTACAGCACCATCGCGGCGATGCGGCGCGGAGCGGACGACGCGATGCGCGGCGCGTCGAGGCGCGGACGCGGGGCGCGGCCGTCGGTGGGGCGTCGACGGCGACGCGTCGCGCGTTCTCCGCGAGCGGCGATGTGACGGCGTCGAAAATAATGTTTCCTCCAGTCATGTGCATGCAGCTGCATCGCTGCGCTGCTGCTAGCTGCTGTGCAGTACCACTGCAGGCTCGCAGCGCGAGCCACCATCCTTCGCGCGATCACAGCGCAGGACGCACCGCACGGTCGCCACCCGGTCGTACCCACGCGCGCGTCTCGCCGCCGCGTCTTCGCGATCCACCCGCGCGCCGTCGCCGACGCGCTTCGAACCCGCTCGAGAGTGCGTCCCGCCGCGACGTCCCGCCCGCTCGTCTTCCGCGCTCCGTCGTCCGTCATCCGTTCGTCCGTCCGTCGCTCCGTCGCGTTCAAACGTCCCTCGTGCGGTCGCGCGTCGTTCGTCGTCGCCCCGCCGCTGATCCTCCCCGTTCCCCCCTCTTCCCGACGCGCAGTGAGCATCATGAGTTACAACGGCGCCGCCATCATCGGTGCGTCGCCGCCTCGCGCGCCTCCCGTCGCCGCCCGCGCGAGATCTCGCGCGACGACGACGACGACGACGACGACGACGCCCTTGCCCTAAACGCGGTCGGCGGTCGCCCGCCCAGATCTCGGAGACGCGACGGAGCGAGGGACCCGCGCGCTCACCGTCCAACCCCGCCATTCCATCCCCGTCCTCCTCCTCGCAGCGATGTGCGGCAAGAACTGCGTCGCGATCGCGTCGGACCTGCGGTTCGGCATCAACCAGCAGCAGACGACCGCGGTGGACATGAAGAAGATCTACGAGATCCATCCGCACCTCTACGTCGGGCTCTCGGGCGCGTCCGAGTCGCACTGGTCCCCGTACGACCGCGTTCGCGTCGTGAACTTCATTCCTTAAGGACTTCGCCCGCGCGCGTTCCTCGCCGCCCGCCCCTCCCTCGGTCTCCCGCGCGACGCCTCGACATCGACCTCGACCTCGAACTGACGCGCCCCCGCGCTGCGCTCGCTCGTCAGGCCTCGCCGCGGATGCCGTATCGCTCGCTCAAAAGTTTGCCTTTCGTCACAACCTGTACAAACTCCGCGAGGGCCGCGACATGCGCCCGGAAACGTTCGCGAACGTCGTGAGCGCTATGTTGTACGAGAAACGCTTCGGGCCGTACTACGCGGAACCCGTCGTCGCGGGATTAGACCCGGTGACGTTCGAGCCGTTCATCACCGGGATGGATCTCATCGGCGCGGCGGCGCCGACGGATAACTTCGTCGTGTGCGGGAACAACGAGGAGTCTCTCTTCGGCGTGTGCGAGAGCATGTACAAGGTGCGTTCTATGTCACACTGGTCCCCATACGACCGCGTCGGCGAGGTGAACGCCGATCCTTAAGGACTTTATCTCCCGGCGTCTCTCTCCGCCCACCCCTCGCGTTCAATCCCCGCCCTCGACGCCTTTCAACTCCAACTGACGCCTTTCAACTCCACCCCGACGTTCGCTCGTATGGAACGACCCTAAGCCCGACTTGGAACCGGAGGAGCTGTTCGAGGTGATCGCGCAGTGTCTGCTGGCGGGGAGCGGACGCGATTGTCTCGCGGGGTGGGGCGGCGTCGTGCACGTCATCTCCAAGGACAAACGCATCACGCGGACGCTCAAGGGAAGGATGGACTAGGCGTCGTCGGGGCGATCGGGTCGCGGCGCGATCGGCGTCGTCGGTCCGGTCGGGTCGGCGGCGATCGGATGGATTGATTCGTTCGTGCGTTTGTTCGTCGCGGGCGGGTGGGTGGGTGTCGAGGGTGGGGTGGGGTAGAGGTTTCTTTAGCGAGGCGCGTCGGAAGACGCGAGGCGGGACGGCGGAGGCGGTCGGCTCGGGCTCGACGTCGCGCGCGATGTGATTGATGTTGATGTGATCGACGAGCGTCGAGGATATAAATTACATTCGGCTCGCACGCTAGGGGGGCGGGGCCGAGGGCGCGAGCCAGAGAGCTCGCGCCCGCGTCCCCGCACTCTCCGACTCTCCTTTCGTCTAATCGTTCGCTTCGTGATTTCTTCGTGTTCGACAATGCACGCAATTAATTATTCCCGCGAATCGCCGTCCGTCCGCGCGCGTCGGCGTCGCTCACGGGTCGCCGTGCTTCCGGAACCCGAGCTTGCGTCGAATGAACTTCGACTTCCGCTTCCAGAACCCTTTGGGCAAGCTCGGCAGCTCCACTCCGCCCTCCATCGTGACGCGGAGCTGGTAGTACAGCCAGCACATCAGGAGCCAGATGAACGGATGCACCGCGAGATACACTTTTTTTTCCACCTTGATGTCGTACGTCGTCGACGCGAGCGCCGCGGTCGTCTTCATGAGCCCAATCCTGTTCCCTGAAAGCATCGTCGGCATCGTGAGAGGGACGCGACGCGAAATCACGTGGAGACGCGCGCGGAGAAGTGACAGACGCGGACGCGACGCGACGAGACGCGAGAGCGATTCGCACGTTCGAAGCACGTGTCTTCAAATTCCCTTTTTAGCGCCAGCACGGTAAGCGTCGCGTCGCCGGCTCGCGCGCGCCAAAAGCGCGCGTTTCTCTCACGCATGTGTCGCGAGCTCGTTCGTTACGGGCTATCCGCGCGAGACTACCTACCGCAGCGACAACTTCCTCGACACCCCCGCGCGCATCGTCTCCATCTCCGCCACCTCCAGCTTCCGCTCGTAGTCCCCCGCCTTCTTCTCCCACTCCGTCGCCGCGCGCTTCGCGTGGAGGTAATCCGTCACCGCGGGATTCTCGTCGCTCGACGCCGTCGTGTTCAACAACTTATTCGTCCGCCTCGCCGCCGCGTGCTCCACCGCCGCGCGCTTCAGCGCCTCGTCGAACGTCGCGCTGAGCTGCCTCTTGAATATCATCTGATCTCGGAGCCACGTCCCGCGCTTGATCGTGTCCGACAGCTTGCGCTTCGTCTTCGACAGCTGTTCCACGACGTTCCCAGTCGCGCGCTTCAGCCGCAGCAGCTCTGCGTTTTTCTCCTCGATCTTCCGGACGTACTGCTCGTGCTCGATCTTGAGCTGCTCGAAGTCGATCGGATGCAGCGCGTCGCCCTGCTCCTCCTTCTGCTTCAATTGAGACTCCGCCATCGCGACCTGCGCCTTAAGCGTCGAGTTCTTCAGCGCGAGCTTCCCGACGTCGGAGTCCTTGGCGTGAATGCTTTGCTCCATCGCGCGCTGCACGCGCTCCGCGGCGATCTTAGGGTCGTTCCATACGAGCGAACGTCGGGGTGGAGTTCAAAGGCGTCAGTTGGAGTTGAAAGGCGCCGAGGGCGGGGATTGAAAGCGAGGGGTGGGTGGAGAGAAACGCCGGCAAAAGTCCTTAAGGATCGGCGTTCACCACGCGAACGCCGTCGTGTGGGAATCAGTGTGACTCGAACGCGCCTTCCCCGTCCGCGCGTTCACCGCGCCCAACACGACGTCGCGCTTGAACTCGAACGTCTCGCGCTTCGTCTCCGCGACGCGCAGCTCCGTCTCCTCCAGTCTCGCGCGGAGGTCGCCCAGTCGCTTCTCGCCGTTCTCCTCGGCGCGCGTCACCGCCGCCTCGGCGCGCTCGTGCTCGGTCGTCGCGACGCGGAGCTTGTCCGCCGCGCTCAGCTCGAGCGCGGGCGGCTCCGTCGCGACGTCGCGATCGCCCGACTTTTTCCCCTTCCCCGAGCCCTTCTTCCCGCCGACGCCGACGCCTTTCCTCGCGGTGGCGGCTGATGCGGCGGCGGCGTCGTCGTCGACGGCGGCGTCGTCGCCCGCGGGCTTGAGCCGCGTCGCGTGCGTCTCGAGGAGCTCGTTCTCCGCGAGGAGGCGGTCGCGGCGCTCGACGAGCTCGCGCGCGACGCGGAGGCGGTCCTCGGTCGGCGGCGGCATGGCGATGCGAGGCGAGGTGACCGACGCGCGAGGAGGGGGCGGAGGCGTCTCCCTCGCTCGACCTCGCCGCGCGTGGCCCTCGCGCGCGCGCGTCGATCTGGCTGGTGCCCCCAATTTGGGGCATCGCATCGGCTCGTCCGCGGAAAAGAAACGATCGACGAGAGGCGCGTACGTTTTTCACCCATCCCATAGTTTCAACGCTTGATCGATACCCCTTTCAACTGACCGATGAACTTTTTCAGTGTACTCGCCCCGAGTGCGAGTCCTTCCATGTCGTACGAGTTCTTCTTCGAGTGTCGTCGTCACTCCATCTCGCGCCGCGCCCGCGCCGATGTCCGCGACGGGTTCGCGTCTCGCCGCCGCTTCTCGCGCCCCCAAGGTATCGCGCTCCTCCCGCGCTCCTCCCGCCGCCTCCTCCTCCCGCCGCGCCGCCGCGCGCGCGACCGCTCGTCCCGTCGCGTCGACGCGCCGTCCGACGACGCGAATCTCCGCGACGATGCCGACGTCGACGTCCGACGCCCCCGCCGCGGGGATGACCGACCTGGAGCGCTACCAGTTCGACCTGAACGGCTTCCTCGTCGTGCGGAACGTCTTCTCCCCCGAGGAGATCGCCGCCGCGAACGCGGCGATCGACGCGCGGTCCTCCTCCATCGTCGAGCGCGATGGCGACCTGCGACTGGGCGGCGGCAAAGAGGACGCGCTCGGCGGCGACGGCGTCCGCGGCCGCGCGGATCTCGGCGGGATGCTCGGCTGGCCTTCGCCGGACCGCGACCTGTTCCGAGCGATGCTGACGCGCCCGAGGCTCGTGCCGTACTACCGCGCGCTGTGCGGGGACGGGTACAGGATGGACCACCTCCCGCTGCTCATACAGCAAGAGACGGGCGCGGACGGGTTCGTGTTTCACGGAGGGAAGATGAACGACGACGGGACCTGGTGCGCGCGCGCCGCGGACGTCTATCATCTTTGTCTCTCTCTCTGTGCTCCTCTCTCCTATTTTTCCGCCCGCCGCGCGATGTGCCACGTCACGCGCATGATGGCTCACCAAACGACTCGCTCCGCGTGTCACTCACGCAGGTGCGACGAGCTCGCGTACGCGTTCGACGGCGGGAAGATGTACAACCGACTTCTCGCCGCGAGCGTCGCGTTGACGCCGACGAACCCCGGCGACGGCGGGTTCTGCGTCATCCGCGGGAGCCACAAGGCGAACCTGCCGTGCCCGCCGAGCGTGCAGCGGTACGAGGAGCTGAGAGAGTTCGTTGACAATCCGAAGCTCGACGCGGGCGACGTCTTACTCTTCTCCGAGGCGCGTCCTATCTATCCATCATCGCGCCGGTCCCCGCGCGACTGCGTTCGTATTCACACTGGTCCCCATACGACCGCGTCCGCGTTGTGAACTTCATTCCTTAAGGACTTTCCTTCCCGCGCGCGTCGCGTCTCTCTCCGCGCACCCCTCGCTTCTTTCGATCCCGACGCGCCCACCTCGACGCCTTTCAACTCCGCTTCTGACGCCTTTGAACTCCACCCCGACGTCGCTTCGTATGGGCAATCACCCTCGCGCAGGCGACGACGCACGGCACGCTGCCGTGGACCGCGACGCGCACGCGCCGCGCGTGTCTGTACAGATTCGCCCCGAGCACGAGCGCGTACGGCCGCGCGTACCACCCGCGCTGGCCCGGCGCGGACGGCGAGAACGGAGACGGGTTGGAGGATCTCACGGAGTCGGAGCGCGCGGTGCTTCAGCCGCCGTTCCACCCGCGCCTGGACCGGTTGATGTTAAGGCGCGTTCTATACACTGGTCCCCATACGACCACGTCAGCGTGGTGCACGCCGATCCTTAAGGACTTTGCCCGGCGTTTCTCTCCGCCCAGGGTCCCTCGCTTTCAATCCCCGCCCTCGACGCCTTTCAACTCCAACTGACGCCTATGAACTCCACCCCGACGTTCGCTCGTATGGAACGGCCCTAAGCGACGACGGCGAGGTGACGACGCAGAGCCGCGCGGGGTTTAAGAAGGACCACGACGCGAAGGTGTTCGGGTCCAAGTACTTTTGACGATGTCGTGCGTAATACGTAATAGAAAGAAGAGAGAAACGAACGCAGCAGGCAGATCTATCCGTTACGCCGCACTCGGCTCCTCCTCGCGTTCGTTCGTCGCGGAGAGCACAGCTGTCTCACTTCAGAGTCGAACGCCGCGTCCGTCGCGCGCGAAATGAAATCGCATCACGCGAGGACGGTGGTCGCCTCCCACTCCCCGCCCGCGGGAACGGTCACCGGCTCGCCGCACGCCGCGGGCTCGACGCACACGAACTCCTTGTAGCACGCCTCCATGTCCGTCCACGGCGACCACACCACCGCGTCCTTCCATCCGCCGCTGTTGGAGATGGAGACGTCGTTCCCGCCGCCGACGGCGAGAGACAACTTCGCCGGCGCGTCGTAGTACACCGAGTCGACGGGGCCGGCGATCGTGACGTCGCCGTCGACGACGCCCTCCTCGTTCGCGAGCCTGTCGAGCGACTTGCACCCGGCGAGGCCGCCGACGCTGACGGCGTCGATGTCCGCGGCGAAGTACGCGTGGAAAGACCCGGTGAAGTCGAACGACTCTTTCCCCGCGTTGATCACCTTCATCGTCGCCTTCATCTCGCCGCCGCCGACGGTGATCGTCTGCGTGACCTTGAACTCCTTGTCCCACATCGCCTTCGTGTAGTCGTTCGGCGTGAGCGTCATCTCGATCGTCGCGTCGTCGCCGTCGCACTTCATCCCCGTCAGCGCCCAGTCGACGTTGCGCGCGAAGCCGTGCACCTGAATGTCTCCCGGGCCGAACTGCGGCCAACAGTGCGGGAGCCCGCCGCTGATGGGCTTGGACTTGTCGAACACCGCGTCCGGGCGCACGTACAGGACGTCGCGGCCGTCCTTGACGAAGGACGTGACGACGCCGCCGAAGAGGTACGCGGTCGCGACGGAGCCGTCGCCGCCGGTGATCTTGACCGCGTCGAGGCCGCCGGCGCCTTGCATCGTCTCGACGGACGCCGCGGCTCGCGGCGTCGTCGCGGAGGCGCGTCGCGTCGCGCGGGAGGCGACGCGGCGCGTCGCGCGGAGCGCGACGGGCGCGGAGACGAGGGAGGACGCTGCGGTCATGGAGGAGGCCATTTGTGAGGTGGTGGTGGGGTGGATGGAGATGCGGCGGGGGCGGCGCGTCGACGGAGTGGCGACGCGTTCGCGCGACGATCGGAACACCCGAGAACGTGCTCCAGGTGGCGTTCCGATCTTCTTTTTTCACGTCGAGACGTACAGTACGAATACACTCGTACTGTACGGTTTTTCAGTCTGGACGACGGAAAAAGCGCCGGCGCGTGTCGCGGCGATCCGGATCCAGCTGGCAACCTGCGGCTCTCGCGCGACGCGACGATAAGGTTGCGATCGACGACGACCGCCCCGCGCGCGCGCGCTCGCGCACACACACGCCGCGCCACTCGCGTCACCCCCCACCTCGACCATGTTCGCGATCGCCTCCACCTCCGCTCTCACCGTCCGCGCGAAGGCGCCCGTCCGCGCGCGCACCGCGGCGCCCGCGAAGGCGTCGCTCCTCGTGGACGCGAAGAAGGCGGCCAAGAAGGCGTCCGTGACGCTCGCGACGATCGCGACGACGATGCTCCCGGCCGCGGCCGCGCTCGCGGAGGAGGAGGCGGTCGCGGGCGACCTCAAGCTCTACGCCGGGTTCACGGTCGCGCTCGGCATCGCCGCGTTCTCCACGCTCCCGGAGCCGGAGAGCTCCAAGCACGGCGCCGACCACTGAGCGCGGCGAGGAGACGCGGACGCGGCGACGATCTTGATCGTTACTTGACGGACGGACGAGGCGAATGAATGATTGATTTTCGAGGACGCGAAGACGCGTCGCGCGCGACGGGCGCGGACGGAAGGGAAGCCGCCGCGCACGAGGACGCGTCGGTCGATTCTTTATTCTTAGCGAGATTTATTGCGAGATTGTGATGATCAAGACACCGCACCACGACGTCACCCCAACCCCGGAGGCAACGGCGCGCCCCTCCCGCGCTTCGCCGGCCGCGCCGCCAGCCCCGGCGGCGGCGGCAGCTGTTGTCCGGAAGGCGCCCCCGGAGGCGGCGCCGGCGGCGGCGGCGCCCCCGCGCCCGTCGGCCTCCCCGGCGGCGGCGGCGGCACCGTCCGCGTCACCCCCGGCGGCAGCCCCGGAGGCGGCGCCGCGGGAGGCGGCACGTTCCGCGGCAGCCCCGGCGGCGGCGCCGGCGGCGGCGGCGCGCCGGCGCCGGGTCCCATCCCCGGGATCGCGCCGCCGGTTCGATCCCTCGCGCCGACGGGCCTGTACCCGCCGCCGCCTAACCCGCCGCCCGCGCTGCTCGTCGTGACGTCCCCCATCGCCGCCGCGCCCTGCCGCGTCGTCGTGTCCCTCGGGACCTCCCCCGGTCTGTTCCGGCACCAAAACTTAGTCGTGTTGTCGTTGCTTCCCGAGCACAACACGTGCCCCGCAGGATGCCAATTGAGCGACCACACCGCCGCCTCGTGCCCGCCCTTGATCGTCGCCGCCGCGTCCTCCGAGCCGCTTCCGACGATCCAGTAGTTGATGCTCCCGTCGTACCCGCCGGACGCGAGCAGCGTCTCGTGCTGCGGGTGCCACGCCACGGACGTCACGTCGCGCGTGTGCCCTTTGAAGCACTCGATCTCGCGCATCGTTCGAACGTCGTGCACCTTCAACGTCTGGTCCTTGCACCCGGTCACGAACCAGTTCCCGTTGACGTTCCACCGCAGGCACGTCACCTGGTTCTTGTGGTCGTGCAGCGTCCCGACGCACTTCCCGCCCTTCGCGTCCCACAGCTTCACGAGCGAGTCCTTGCCCCCCGACGCGAGCAACGCTTTCGACGGGTGCCAGTCGACGCACTGGAGTTGAAAGGCGTCAGAAGCGGAGTTGAAAGGCGTCAGAAGCGGAGTTGAAAGGCGTCGAGGTGTGTGCGTCGGGATTGTGAGCGAGGGACCCTGGGCGGAGAGAGACGCGCGCGGGCGAAAGTCCTGAAGGATCGGCGTTCACCACGCCGACGCCGTCGTACGGGAACCAGTGTAAGGAATAGAACGCGCCTTGACGTCGCCGCCGTGCCCCGAGAGCGCGTGCACCGCGGCGGCGCGCGCGAAGTCCCACACCTTTACCGTCGTGTCGTCCGAGCACGAGCAGAACTTGAGGTCCGTGGGCGCGAACGCGAGCGCGCGGACGGGCTCGTCGTGCGCCTTGATCTGCTTCATGTTGTTCAAGTTGGTCTGCCAGTACTTTACGACGCCGGCGTCGTCGCCGGAGAGGAACCAATTCTCGTTGTGCGAGAAGACGCACGCGCGGATCGCGCAGTTGTGCGCCTGCAAGATCGTCTCGAAGTTGAAGCTCATGCCGTTCCACAGCGTGAATTCGCCGTTCTGCGAGCACGTCAGCAGTCTACGTCCGTCGGGGGTGAACGTCGCGACGTTCACCGGCGTGCGGATCTTGTTGAGGGCCATTCCATACGAGCGATTGTCGGGGTGGAGTTGAAAGGCGTCAGGTGGAGTTGAAAGGCGTCGAGGGCGGGGATTGAAAGCGAGGGGTGGGCGGAGAGAAACGCCGGCGAAAGTCCTTAAGGATCGGCGTTCACCACGCGAACGGGGTCGTATGGGGACCAGTGTATAGAACGCACCTTGTTCGTGGAGACGTGCACGAATTTCGTCGCGAACGACGTCGCGGGGAGATGCGCGTACGCCACGGGGGGGAGGAAATCCAGCATCGCCCCGGACGTGGGCTGCAGCATCTCGTTGTCCCACAGGTTCTTCTGGTACACGCGCGATTCCACGTGCCGCACCGCGGTCGCGGAGTGGTCGATCGTGCGCCTCTGCACCGGCTTCCGCGCGCCCTGCTCGCGAAGCCCGGTGAAGCGCTGATCTTCGCCCTCCCCGACGTAAACGTACGTCGACATGACGGACGTCGTCCGCGGTTCTCGGTCGTCGCGTCCGTCGTCGGGCCCGCACCGCGCGACCGCGCCGCCGGTCGATTCGATCGACGACCGAGCCGCGGGCCACGGCGGGGAGGACGACGCGAGCGAGCGCCCGAGGAGTGCGGCGATGGTGATTCGATCATTCGTTTTTTATGGAGTCGCGTCGCGCGTCGTCGCCGAGCAGAGCGCAGAGTTTATTTTAATAGTCGCGTCGTCGATCGCGCGGCTTCCCCGCGGGCGCTCGCACCTCGCACTCTTCTCATCACTTCGCGACCGCCTCCTTCGCCTCCTCCGCCTCCTTCTTCTCCGCCTCCGCCTCCTTCGCCGCCGCGGCCGCCTTCTCGCGCATGAACCCGATCATCCGGTTCGTCGCCGCGACGTACGCGCGCGCCGACGCGACGACGATGTCCGTGTCCGCGCCAGACGCGGTAAACGTCCGCGCCTCCATCTCGCCGCTGCTCTTCGCCTTCATCGCGACGCTGTCCATCGGCCGCACCCGCACGCGCGTCTCCGCCAGGGACTCGATCCCCTCCACGACCGCGTTGACGCTGTACTCCACGAGCTCCACCTTGCCCGCGGCGACGATGCCGTCGATGGCTTTGTACGTCGCGTCCACGGGGCCCGAGCCAACCTCCGATCGCACTCGGCTCATCCCGTCCGGGCCGCACATCTTCACCGTCGCGGTCGGGAGGCCCATCGTGCCGCACACGACCTGGACGTCCTCGAGCTTCCACGACGCGGACTTATCGACGTCGCCGGCGAATTGGCTGCCCTCGCACGTCACCAGCGCGATGATCTCGTCGTCGTCCACGCCGCCCGTCTTTTGCTCCGCGACGAGCTTGAACCGGTTGAACATCTCATCCAGCGCGTCCCCCTCGAGCGGGTACCCCAACTGTTTGAGCTTCGACGACAGCGCGTGCCTCCCGGAGTGTTTGCCCATGACGACGCCGACGGAGTCTTCGCCGCGGAAGTATCCGATCGTCTCCGGGGCGATGATCTCGTAGGTTTTTTTGTTCTTCAGCATGCCGTCTTGGTGAATGCCCGACTCGTGCGCGAAGGCGTTGGCGCCGACGATCGCCTTGTGCGGCTGCACGCTCATCCCGGAGAAATCCTTCACCATCTTGCTGCACGGGTAGATGTACACGGGGTTGATGCCCGTGAACGCTCCGTAGATGGCCGTTTTATCCTGCCCGCGGAGCCAGATGGCCATCGCGACTTCTTCGAGGCTCGCGTTGCCCGCGCGCTCCCCGATGCCGTTGATGGTGCACTCCACCTGCCGCGCGCCGTTCGCGACGCCCGCGAGCGAGTTCGCGGTGGACAGTCCGAGGTCGTTCTGGCAGTGTGTGGATATGACGTACTCGCCCGGGACGTTTTCTTTGATCCCCGCGATGAGCGTCCCGAATTCCTCCGGGAGGCACACGCCGACGGTGTCGGGAATGTTCAGCGTCGTCGCGCCCGCGTCGACGACGGCGGTCAGGATCCTGTGCAAAAACTTAGGGTCCGACCGCCCGGCGTCCTCGGGGGAGAACTCCACGTCATCGCACCCTAAACTCCGCGCGTACTTCACCGCGTCGACCGCGATCTGCACCACCTCGTCGGGGGTCTTGCGCAGCTTGGACTCCATGTGGATTTTCGACGTCGCGATGAAGGTGTGAATGCGCGGGCGAATCGCGTGACGCACGCCCTCCCACGACGCGTCGATGTCCTTCTTGTTCGCGCGGGATAAGCCGCAGATCACCGGGACGTACCCGTCCTCGAAGCGCTCGTTCCCCACGATCTTCGCGATGTTGCGGACAGCCTCGAGGTCGTCCGGGGACGCGATCGGGAATCCAGCCTCGATGATGTCCACGCCGAGCTTCGCGAGGTTGCGCGCGATGTCGAGCTTCTCGCTGGACGTGAGCGTCGCGCCTGGCGTGGGGACGGGGAGGCGGGGGGGAGGGGCCCGTTGGGAGTCTGTCGCGCGCGGACGCGGAGGGAGGGATCGACGCGTCGTGTCGTCGTCGCGCGATCGAGGCGTCGGTCGTCGATCGACCGCTCCAGCGGGTTCGTGGTTAGGGTCGAGAGGAGACGCGAGCGGGACGCCGGCGGGACGAATCGCGACTCCGTGGCGAGCGCACCAGGGCTCTGCTCGCCGTCGCGCAGCGTCGTGTCGAACACGCGCACGTAGTTCGGGTCGTCGATCCGCGACGGAACGTACTCCGGGCGCGGCGCGCGGGCGACGTCCGCGTCCGCGGGCGCGCCCTTCCCCGCCGCGCTCGCGCTCGCGGCGACGATGACGGCGCGGCGCGGCGACGGCGCCGCGGGCGCGGCGATCGCGCGCGCGACCTTCCCGCCGCTCGCGCGGTTCGCGGCGGCGGCGCGTCTGCCGGCGAACGCGGCGACGGGCGCGCGCGCCGCCGCGGCGTGGCATGATGCGGACATCGCGTGCGACGACGGACGTGCGCGTGTGAGTGACGAGGGCGTGTGACGACGTCGCGGCGGCTTTCGACGCGCTGGGAGAATAAGCGAGCGCGGAGATCGCCTCTGGCTTCGACCGACCGCGCCCTTTCGCGAACGAATGTGGCGGATAAGCACAGTCATCATACGCGTTGCCAGTCTGGAAAGTATCGGCGTACGCGGATATCTTTTCGCAGTCGTACGCGCAATCGGTCAGAATACGAGTACGTGGTACGAGTACGAATCCCCGACGAATCTCGCGTCCCGCGTTTTTGGGCAGATATGGTACGAAGGGGTGACATCGATTCGTCTCGCACACCTCGCGCGCGCTCGATACGAACGCCCCGCGCTCCGAAGATCTGTAGATCGCGCACCGTTCGCGCGATCTGACGCCCGCGCCGGCGCGCTCGCATCCGCACGCTCTCGCGTCCGCCGCGCGACCGTCGCGCCGCGCGCATCTTGCGTATTTTTTTTTTCAAACCGCGCGCGTCCGCGTCCCTTCGGTGACTCGTCGCGTGCGGCGAACGATGACCTCCGTCGCCGCGCCCGTCGCGGGCGATCTCCCCGGCGTCGCCGTCCGGAGGCACTCGTCCAGGAAGTCCACGTCCCCGCCGAACTTCGAGCTCGACACGAGGACGGTCGCGGCGACGAACGCGGACAAGGCGGCCGCGCGCGCGCGTCTCGCGGACGCGTGCGAGGATATTCTCAAGTCGCTCCGCGCGCGCGACGCGGACGCGCCCGGGTTTACGCGCGAGGACGTGATCGCCGCGGTGAGGGAGAAGTACGAGTACGACGACTCCGCGGAGACGTTCGCGATCGTCCTCGGCGACGCGACCAGGTTCGCGAAGGACGCGGAGGCGAAGAAGGCGAAGGGGAGGTGAGCGGGCCGCGGCATCCCCGTCCTCTCGGTCAAGGCCGCTGACGTCGTCGTTCACGCATCTCGACCGCGGCGCTCCCGCTTTTTTTTTTCCAGCCCCTCTCTCCTCGGATCGAACGGATCGATCGTCGCGATCTCGATCTGACCCGCGCTCCTCCTCTCTCTCTCGTCTCGTCTCCTCGCCGCAGGCCGAGGATGCTGTACTCGCTGCCGCCGTCGTCGCAGTCGAAGCGCGCGGGCCCGGACACGCCGCCGCAGGGCGCGACGCCGGAGCACTCGGAGGATGACGACGCCGACGCCGACGCGCGCGGCGGCGGTCGCCGCGCGGGACGCTCCGACTCGAGCAAAGCGTCCGAGGACACGACCGAGGACGTCGCGGCGGCGGCGAAGGAAGAGTCGGAGGACAACGCAGAGACGATTCACGCGAAGAAGACGGGCGCGCGCAGCGCGCGACGCGGTTCCGGTTCCGCCGCGAAGAAGGGTAGCGTCGGCGTCGGCGTCGGCGTCGGCGTCGGCGTCGGCGCCGGCGCGGAGAAAAAGCGGAAGGCGGCGACGACGAGCCCCGCCGCGAAGACAGAACGCGACGCCGACGCCGACGACGACGACGCGGAGCCCGACGCGGACGCCGCGGATCTGCTCATGAACCTCCTCGACCCGTCGCACTCGGAGGAGAACCTCGGTAATAAGGTGCGTTCTATACACTGGTCCCCATACGACCGCGTTGGCGTGGTGGACGCCGATCCTTAAGGACTTTTGCCGGCGCGTCTCTCCGCCCGCCCTTCGGTTTCAATCCCCGCCCTCGACGCCTTTCAACTCCAACTGACGCCTTTCAACTCCACCCCGCCATTCGCTTGTATAGAACGACCCTAAGAGACGCAAGAACGCGCACCACGCGGGCGCGACGGCGAGGGACCGAGACGCCAAGCCGGCGTCCAAGGAGGAGGATCTGATTCGAAACCTCGACCTCTGCGGCGCGGTGAACGGCGCCGCGCGGCACGCGATGGACGTCTGGCAGCGCGAGGACGCGGCCGTGCGCGGCGCGGTCGGGCACTTGGAGACGGCGGCGGCGGCGAACGTCGGCGACGCGATCGAGAAGCTCGCCAAGATGGCGGAGTCGTCGTCGTCGGATGCCGCGGCGGCGGACAAGAAAGCGGTCACGGCGGTCAAGTCGGCGCTCGAGGCGCAGGCGCTGGTCATCAACGCGCTCCTCGCGGACCGCGAGGAGCGCACCCGCGCGATGCACTACCTCGGCGAGACCGCGGAGGTGGTGGCTGGCGTCGCCGTGGAGAGGCTGCGCAGGAGCGAGGTGCACGTGCGGTCGGCGAGGCGGACGATGGACAAATTCCGCGAGCAGATGAGCGGGATGTTCGACGCCGCGACGCGGTGGCGGTGAGCGGCGAGGTGAGGCGAGGCGGCGGCGTCTGCCGTTCCCGTTCTTCTCGAGAGAAAGAATGGGTGTACTATTAATTACAAACGATGAGGGCCGAAGGTCTGTTCATTCATCACGTCGGGGGCATGCTCAGCCCCACGCCTTGTCTCTTGTTGTCCTCGCTTATCCCCTCCGGCCCGTTTGTTCCGCCGTTCCCGCCGTTCCCGCCGCCGCCCCACCCGCCGCCGTCGTTCCGACTACTCATCAGCTTCCGCAATCCGCTCAACACGCTGCTCGCGCCCTGACCCACGCCGACGCCCATCTTGGTCCGCTCCGCGCCCTGAAACAAATCGTCCACGGCGACCACCTCCCTCCCCTCCCTCGCCGCGAGAAGCACGCCCTCGTTCACGACGTTCGCGAGCTCCGCGCCGGTGAACCCGCCGGTGATTCGCGCGACGGCCTCGCACGTCGCCGTCTCGCCCTCTCGCGTCTCCACGCCGCGCAGATGCACGCGGAGGATCTGCGCGCGACCGGCGTAATCCGGCGGGCCGACGAAGACGCGACGCGTGAGCCGGCCGGGGCGAAGCAACGCGGGGTCCAACGCCTCCGCGCGGTTCGTCGCCGCGAGCACGAGCACGCCGCCGGGCTTGTTGAAGCCGTCCATCTCCACGAGCATCTGGTTCAGGGTCTGGTCTCGTTCCTCGTTCAGACCCGCGCCTCTGCGCGCGCCGATGGCGTCGAGCTCGTCGATGAAAATCACCGACGGCGACGCCTTGCGCGCCTCCGCGAATAACTCTCTCACCCGCGCGGCGCCTCTTCCGACGAACAGCTCCACGAACTCGGACGCGGCGACGCTGAAAAAGGGCACGCCGGCCTCGCCCGCGACCGCCTTCGCGAGCAGCGTCTTCCCCGTGCCCGGCGGACCGACGAGCAGACACCCGGTCGGCAGGCGGTTCTTCACGCCCTTGTACTTCTCCGCGGATCGAAGCATCTGCACGAGCTCGATGAGCTCCGTCTTCGCGGCGTCCACGCCGGCGACGTCCGCGAACGTGACGGGAGTCTCCTGCGTCCCGCCCGTCCTCGCCTTCTTCCCGGTGCCGCCGCCGCCTTGCTTGTTCGTCGCGTTTCGGAACATGAAGTACAGCGGGATAAGCGGGATCCACAGCGCCATCGCGGTGAGCGCGCCTTTGCTTATGTACGACGACGGCGGCGCCGCGATGCTTCCGAACTCGACGCCGGAGGCTTCGAGGCGGGTCATTAAACGCTCATCGGGGATGCGTTTCGTTTGCAGGATCACGCCGCGCGGCGGTTTCGCCGCCTCCGTCGCCGAGTTTGAGGGCGTCGCGGCGTCCGACGTCTTCGTCGCCGAAACGCGCTTAGATGCCATCTTCGGGAGCTTCGACAGCGCCGCCGCCTTCGCCTTGCTCGCGGCGGAAGACGAACCGGCGGTGGTAGACGAACCGGCGGGCGCCTTCGCGGGCGCGGACGACGTCGCGCCGTGCTTCAGCTCGTACAAGATCCTCCCCGTGCCCTCTTCAAAACGCACGGCGGTAACTTTCTTCGCGCTCAAGTCTTTCACGAAGTGCGAGTAGAGGACCGCGCGCGGCGTGTTCACGCGGCTCGCGCCCGCTCTCCTCGCGGCGACCGCCTTGACCCCCAGCGCCGCGCTCGCGCCCACGAACACGGTGAACGTCGCGACGAACCACCGGTTGCGCAGCATCCCGCTCGCGAACTTCACGAGGAATCCGAGAAACATGATCGCGTACAGCTTGCACTTCAGCGCGAACCTCGACAGCGCGCCGTGGTTCCGGCGCGGCGGCGGCGGCGACGACGAATTTGACGGCGTCGCGGGCGTCGACGTCGGCGTCACCGGCGCGTCCGCGGTCGCGCGCTCGAGCTGCGAGACGTCGCCGTCGCTCCCATCGCCGTCGCCGTCGCGCGGCGAAGAGGGCGCGGCGTCGCGCGGCGGCGTCGCGCCGCGCGCGGGTTTCTCGTCCGTGAACGTGGACGACGACGCCGCGGCGACGACGCGTCGGACGCGGCGGACGCGCGAAGACGCGTCGGCGAGGACGCGCGACGGCGACGAGAGCGACGAGAGCGACGACGAGAGCGACGCGCGCGGCGCGGAGACGCGCGTCCGTCTCGAGGACGACGACGACGGCGAGACGACTGCGACGACGACGGCATCGCGGCGCGAAGAATGGTCGACGACGCGCGCCGGCCGCGCGCGCGCGGCGACGCCGCTCGCCGCCGCGCCGGTCGCGATGCCCGAGACGTGCATCATCGCGCGGGAAGAGAGAGAAGTCGGGACGAGGACGAGACCTCCCTTGCGCGGACTCCCCGTGACGGAGCGCCGCGAACTGACCACCGACGGACGTGTCGTGCTGTCTTCCTGGCCAGTCGACCGAGATCCAACAAGTTAGGGTTGGAAATGGGTCCTTCCTGTAACCTGTTGGAGCTCGCTCGCTCCGAGACAATTTTAATACGACGTTTCGCGGACCAAAAAGCGCACACTCTCATCGCTCGGCGGTCGTCGCGTCCTCCGCGCGATCCAGCATGTCGTCTCTCGTCGCTCCCGCGCGCGCGTCGATGCCGTCGGCGCGTCGTCGCGCGATCGACGCGCGCGACGCGCTCGCGCGCGCGTCGTCCGTCGATTCCTCCGCGCGGCCGCGACCGTCTCGGAGGAGCCGACGTCACGAACAATTCTTCGACCGCGATTTCATCCGACGCGGACGACGCGGCCGCGCTCCGGTCGTCGCCGCCGCCGCCTCGAGCGGCGCGGGGGGCAACGGCAACGACACCCCACACCGCGCGCTGCCGCCGATATTCAAGAACACCATGCATCGCAACAACGTCGTGTCGTTCAAGCGACGCCCGGGCGCCGCCGGGGGGGCGGGGTCGTCGTCGTCGTCGTCGAGCGCCGCGAGCGACGCCGACGCCGCCGCGGACGGCGTCGCGAAAGTCGCCGTCGTCGTCGGCGCCGGCCCCGCGGGCGCGCTCGCGGCGGCGTACCTCGCGAACCTCGGATGGCGCGTGCGCGTGTACGAGAAGCGCGGCGCGGAGGAGGAAGAGAAGGAGAAGGACGCGACCACCGATTCGCATCCCCCGGCGCCGCTCGGCATCGGCGGCAGGAGCTACAACGTCGTCCTCTCCCCGCGCGGGCTCGGCGCGCTGGCGGACGCGGGCGTCGAGCTCCCGAGCGACGCGCACGTCGCCCTCGAAGGCAGCGTCCGCCACGTCGCGGGGGACGCCGCCCCGAGCTTCAGCGTGATGTTCAAGGGCACGGTGTCGATCGATCGAAACGCGCTCGCCGACGCGATCGCGGCGTCCGCGGAGGCGAAGCACGGCGCCGACGTCGTCGCGTTCGCGCGCGGCGTCGGCGTCGACGCGATCGACTTCGACGCGCGCGTCGTCACCCTCGCGGCGAAGGAAGCGTCAGACCCGGCGTCGGTTTCGTATGAGCAATTAGTCTCGTACGACCTCCTCGTCGCCGCGGACGGCGTCAACTCGCGCGTGCGGAGTTTACTCGAAGCCGCGGGCGACGTCGTCGTGGATCAGCACTCGGATGAGATGCTGTTCAAGACGATCCGACTCCCGGCGCAGACGCCGCCGAACTACCCGCACGACGGCACCGTGAAAGTCGCGGCGACGTGGCGGAAGTGTTTCCACACGTGGCCCAGGGGCCTGATGTCGTTGCTCGCGCCGCCGTGCCCGAACGGGAGCCTGACGGCGACGGTGATCCTGCCGGGCGGCGTCCACGCCGCGAACGCGGGGTCCGACGTCTGGACGTTCGATAAGATTTCAACCGCGGAGGACGCCGCGCGGTTCTTCGCGGAGACGTTCCCGGACGCGTTCGGGCGCGACGTCGACGCCATGACCGGCGCGGTGTCGCCGACGCGCCCGCCCGAGGAAGAGCTCGAGCGGTTCGCGAGCGCGCGCGCCAACCCGGGCGGGGTCACGACGACGATATCGAGCCTCGCCGCGAGAGACGGCACCGTCGCGTTGATCGGCGACGCCGCGCACTCGATGTGGCCGAGCCTCGGGCAAGGCTGCAACGCGGCGCTGGAGACGGCGCAGTATCTCGCGGCCGCGATCGAGTCCGCGCCGGGGGGCGACCAGAAGAAAGCGATGGCGTACTTCGACGCCGTGCGAGGGCCGCAGGTGCGGGCGATAGGGAGGCTGAGCGAGGCTGGGTTCGGCGGCGTCGCGAAGCGCGCGGGGAACGTCTTGTTTTTCGCCAAGATCGCGGCGCTGACGGCGCTTCATAAGGCGCTTCCGTCACTCTTCGAGAGACCCGCGCTGACGCGGATCAACGACCCGTCGTGGGCGTACGATGACATCGAGGACGCCGCGCGCGGGGAGAACGGGACGCTGTTCGCGGCGTTCGTCGCACTGACGGCGGCGGCGGCGGGCGCGGCGAAGTTTGGCGCGAGACGCGTCGCGGCGGAGGCGGCGGCGGTGGCGAAGACGCTGGCGCTCGGAGAGGGCGGCGTCGGGAGCGAGGGGAAGGCGATCGCCGTGTTGTTGGTCGTCGCGCTGCTCACGGCGGCGTGGAGGGCGTCGGGGAGGAGGCGTAGGAATCGCAAGGGGAACGTTCCGAGGGCGCGCGCCGCCGCGGAGGCGGCCGCGGGGGCGGGAGCGTCGTGACGCGTCGTACTGTTACCTTCGTACGTTTTATCATGGAGAGGGGTGGGGACCTCGAAAGAATCGTCAATCACAATCACTTCGTTCAGTTGATCATCACCCCCGCGGCCTGGCAGTACCCCGCGACCGCGTTCTGCACCTCCGGCGGGCACCCGCCCTGAATCAACCCCCGCATCCGCCCCGGCATCCCGCCGCTCGCCGTCGCTAACGTCCGCGCGACGTGCGTTTTCACGTCCGTGACCTCAGCGCACGGATCCACCTCGACCCTCTTCGCGTTGGCGAGCGAGTTGTACGCCGCGCTGTACCCAGCCTTCGCTTCCATCTCCTCGAGCTCCGCGTCCGCGTCCGCGGCGTCGCCGCCGTCGCCGCCGGCGTCCGTGGGTTTCTCCAGGAGCGTCACGACGTTCGTGAGGAGCTTCGCCCACCCGGCGTCGTTCGCGATGAGCGACGACGACTCCGAGAGAAACCGCGCCGACGCGACGGCGACGACTTTCGTCTCCATCTCCCCCGTGATGCCCCCGACCGCGTCCGCGATCGGGCCCGCGAGCACCATCTCGAAGATCCCGGGCTGCACCTTCGCCATCGTGTCCGCCACGACGCTCGGGCCGTGCTTCACCGCGAGCGACGAGACGAACACGACGAGGCACCTGACGAACTTGGTCGTCTTCGACGTCTGCAGCCGCTGGAAAAGGATACCCCACACCGCGGGCAGCTGATCGATCCACGCGGGCAGCGCGAGCGAGCTCACGAGCGCGTTCAAAACGAAGAACCCCTGGTGATCATGCGCGCGGCTCGAGACGAGCTTTTGGAACACGCCGAGGATGCCTTGCAGGTACCCGCCGCCCGCGATCTCCGCCGGCGCCTTTCGTAAAAACGCTTCCAACAGACGCACGAGCGGCGTCACGTTCGCCTGCCGGTCCCACAGCGCCGGCACCAACAGCGCGGGGAAGATCCCGACGTACGCGGAAGGGAGCGAGCCGCTCGGGTGCGTCTCGATCAGCTGCGACAGGAGCTGGAACACGTACGGCGCGAACTCGACGACGTCCGCCTGCAGGACGTGCTGAAACGGCGGAAACAACGCGCGCTCGAACCCGCCGACGAGTCCCGGGTCGTTCGCGTGCCGCAAGAGCGCGGCGATGGACTCGAAGAGGTAGTGCGAGAACGCCGGGTTCCTCGGGTTCTTGCACGTCTCCATCGCCATCGCCGCGAGCTGCGTCACGCACGCGTCCGCGACGGGCTTGACGCCTTCGCCCAAGAACCCGATCACGCGCATCACCGCTCGCATCGCGTAATCGTTCTCCCCGCTGTCCGTCTTGGCGAAGACGCCGAACAGCGACGTGAGCAGCGGCTCCGTCGTCGCCGCGAGGTCCGCGGGCGCGTACCTCGGCGTCGAGCGCGTGACGGCGCCGGGGGCGGCACCTGGGCCCAGCGGATCTCTCGTCGTCAGAAGGCGGTCGAGAGCGATGGCGGCGTAGGTGTGGACGACGTTGTTTTCCGCGCGAAGCAACGCGACGACGGCGGGGACGACCGGGAGGATCATCGCCTTGGGCAGCTGATGCCGGAAGATGGTCATGAACTTGAGCGCGTCCGCGAACAACACCGCCTGGCCGATCCCGCCGGCGTCGGGCCCCTGACCGGTCGCTTTCGCGAGCTCCGGGACGATCTGGGTTTGGAAAAAGTCCACGACGGAGACGAGCTCGTTCGTCTCCGTCGCGCCCTTCGCGGCGCTGCTCTTCTTCACCGTGAGCGAGATGACCAGATAGATCGCCGCGTCTTTCGCTTTCCACGAGTTCACCGGGTCGGACGCGAATTGACCGAGAAGCGCGGCGACGTACCCGGTCACGCTGGTCGTCATCTCGTTCGGAAACTTCCCGGCGAGGCCTTTGATGAGCTCGCCCGCGCCGCGTCGACGCGTGTCGCTGTCGCTCCCTTCCACGTCCCGACGGATGTACTCCACGTGGTTCATCTCGAACAGCTCCTCGTCGTCGTCGCGGAACTGCAAGTTCGGGATGACGATGCTCTCGCACACTTGACGCAGCGTGTCGCCCCCCGCGAAGAGCGAGTGATGCACGGAGTTGGCAACCGTGGTCAAGAACCTCACGCCGGACGTCACGAGGTGATCCTTCTCCGCGCCCGCGCCCGTCTTCGTGAGCAGCGTCCAGACGTCTTGGACGAACGTCTGAAGGAACCGCTGGAACTCCTCCTCGTTCTTCTCGATGTACAGGTTGACGTTGTCGCACACCGCGGCTTTGACGCGGTCGAGCTCGGGGACGTTAGCCGCGGTTGGATTTTCGTAGGCGAGGTATTTGTGAAACTGACCCATCCACGCGTCCATCGCGTCCTCGAACACCTCCGGGAGCTCTTGCGAGTTGAGGGAGTAAAACACGCGCATGATAAGACGCAGACACGAGAACAGAGACGTCAGGAGCGTCGCGTCGTTCGCGTTGGCGTCCACGGCGGCGGAGATCTCCAAGAGCAACGCCTGCAGCGGCGCCACGAACGCGTCCAAGACGTACTTCAGCTCCTTATACAGCTCGTCGCTCTTGTACGCCTGGCGATAGCGCTTGAACATCGCGTTCGCGGTCGTGAGGACGCCCACCACGGCGTTGAAGTCGCGCTGCCCCGACGACCCCATGCGCTGAATCAGCTCCGGGAGCAGCGATGGCCACCGCTCCGGAAAATCCGCGGCGCAGACGATGGCCAGCGCCTCGGGGTCGTTCCGTACGAGCGAACGTCGGGGTGGAGTTGAAAGGCGTCAGAAGCGGAGTTGAAAGGCAACGCGGGCGGGGATTGAAAGCGAGGGACCCTGGGCGCAGAGATGCGCCGGGGTTAAAAGTCCTTAAGGATCGGCGTTCACCACGCCGACGCGGTCGTACGGGGACCAGTGTGAGATGACAGAACGCGCCTCGGTGAGCTGCGCGCGGACGAGCTTCGGGGAGGAGAGCATCAGCCCCACGAGCGACGCGCGGATCTGGTCCTTCTCCGCGTCCGCGATCGAGTACGGCGGCGGCGCGCCGACGACGTCGGGCTCTCTCGCGACCCAGTGGTTCTTCGCGAGATTCTTGAACGTCACCGCCGCCGCCTGGCGCGTCTGCGGCTCCGCCGCCTCGGACGCGAGCGCGCGAAGGAGGAGGACGCCGAAGCCCGGCTGCGATGCGCCCTGGGTGAGGAACGCCTCCGCGTGACCGCGCGCGGTCTGATCGGGGGATAGCGACTGCGCGAGGCACGCGCTGAGCTGCGCGAGGTCCGCGTCGAGAGACGCCATCTATCTTCCGCGCGATGACGCGCTCGTCGGATGGATCGGATCGTCAGTCGCGCGACGGCCTCTGCCGCGGATCTCGCAGAGGGTGCCTAAGCTACGATCGATCGATCCGGCGCGCCGACGCGAAGAACGACTCGGGACGCGACGCGCGCGACGCCGTCGCGCCGCGATCGGGTTGGCGCGGTCGTCCACGCGCGGATCCCGCGCCGCGATGCGTTCGCGCGACGGCGGCGCCGCGTGCGGTGGTGGTGTGGCCGCGGCGTCGGCGTGCGATCTTCTTTTCAGTTCCCCCCAGCACCGCGCGGGACTTTTCGAAAGTGCACTTGGTCAGCACTTGGTCGGGCGGCCGCGGCCGCGGTGCGCCGGTTCGCCTCCCCCGTCGCGTCGTTCGAGGGATCCGACGCGCGCCGCCGCCGCGCCACTCCTCCGCGCGCGCGCACGTCGGTGACATCACGCCGGTGGCGTCCTCCATCATGCTCGTCAAGGATCTAGCGCGCGAGCTCGTGGAGGTGCGACGACGCGACGCGCCCGTCCGCGGCGCGCGCGCGCCGTCGTCGCGCGTTCGTTCGTTTTTTTCTAACCTTAACCGTCGCCTCGTCCGTCGCCTCACCCATCCCGCCGTCCGTCCCGTCGCAGAGCGATCGCGTCAAGGAGGCGCTCGAGAACCTCAAAGACGCGTTCGCACGCGCGAAAAAGGAATCGAGCGCGGACGGCGCCGAGGCGAAGGAGGTCCTCGCCGCGATCGACGAGATCGCGCGCGTCATCCCAGCGGACGACGTCTGCGCGAGATTCGCGCGCGCGATCGCGCACGGCGAGTCGCCGTCGCCGTTCGCGCCGTCCGCGCGCGACGGCAAGTACCTCAAGCCGGTCAGACCCTCGGAGCTTCGAATGACGTGCGTGGAGACGGCCGCGACGCTCCTCGAGGCCGGGTTCGCGGACGACGCGCGGTGGCGCGACGTCTTCGCGAAAGCCGTCGCGCGCGGCGTCGTCGACGACGGCGGCGCCGACGACGTCGTCGAACGCGACGGCGACGCCGGCCTGCGCTTCGCGACGGTTCACCGCGCGAAGCATCACCTCGCGCGCGCGCGGTCGTTCGCGTACCGCCGCCGCGGCGCCGGGCGCTTGCCGCAGGCGCTGATCGACGCCAAGGCGGGCGTCGCGTACGCGCCCGACGGAGAGAAGACGGGCGCGGGCGCGGGCGCGAAGGCGCGTTCGTTCTTTTCACGCCGGTCCCATATATTACGAACGCGTTCGCGCGGCGCACGCCGTTCCTCGAAAACATTCTCTCCCGGCGTTCGTTTCTCTCCGCCCGCCACTCTCACTCGCTCGCTTTCAATCCCGACACGCCTCGACGCCTTTCAACTCCTCCAACTGACGCCTTTGAACGCCACCCCGACGTCGCTTCGTATGGACAAACACCCTCGAAGCGCGAGCTCGCGAGCGCCAGAGGTCTTCTCGCGTCCGCGCTCGAGTCCATCGCGTCCTACGTTCCGACCGGCGACGTCGACGCGGACGCGGCGGTTCAACGGATGAAGCGTCATGTCATCGTCCCCTCCGGCGCGTTCGCGAACATCGTGCACGACGACCTGATCGTCGACGCCGGCGTCGCCGCCGCGGTGGAACACAAGCGCGCGTGGCACCTCGACGGCTCCGACGTAGAGCACAAAAATAACGCGCGTCGGTGCGCCGTTACGTACTGCCCTCCCGCGCTGCGCGACCTCATCTCCTCGCCGGAGGTGTCCATCGAGACCGTGATCGAGTGGCTCGAGAAGGACAAGCTCGCGAACGCGCCGGAGTACGTGCGACCGAGGCCCAAGTACGCGCGCTATTACGAGTCGATGCGAGAGCGGATCCGCGAGCACTACCCCGAGCTTCCCGCGCCGGTGATGGACAAACTGCTCGCCCTGGACGCGGGCGAGCTCGACTTACTTCTGCAGTACCCGACCGCGATCAGAGGCCAGACCGAGGAGTTCTTGGACGTGTACCGCGCCGAGGGCGGGACGTACCTCGAGACGTACAAAACCCCGGCGCTGTCGTGGAAGGAGGTCAAGGCGATGAAAGGCGAGGGCACCGTCGGTCTCGAAGCCGCGGGGCCCGGGTCCTCGGAGGCGGCGATGTTCAAAGACGAGGCGCCGCTGTTCGCCGCGAGCGACTCCGACGACGAGGACACCAACCGCGCGATGCTCGGCGCGAGCGGCGACGACGGTCTCACCGCGGAAGAGGAAGCCGGGCTCGTGTTGAACGCGTCCGGGACGCTGAACGCGCCGGCGTTGCCGCCGGATCAGCTGCGAGTCGCGAGTCACGCGAGCGAGGCGAAGAAGGAAGCGCTCGGCGCCATCGCGGAGGGCGACAACGGCGACGGCGACGCGGCGACGTCGCGGCGGGTGACGCGCGCGCGCGCGGTGCTCGAGGCCGTGAAGCCGTCGCCGCTGGACGACATGGACTGAGGACGACGGGAGAAGGAAGAGGAGGAGGAGGAGGAGGAGGACGCGACGCTTCAACAACGCTTACGCTTCCTAACGCGTCGCCGCGTTCATTCACTCTGCTACGTCTATTCGGGGCCGCAACAGCCCGCGGGTCTCCGCGAACGCGACGACCGCGTCGACGACGACGCGGCACGTCCTCTCCGTGATCGGCACGTACTCGTCCTCCTCCTCCTCCTCCTCCTCCTCCTCCTCCTCCGGCGGCGGCGGCGGCGGCGCCGAAGAGGTGAAGTCAAAGTTTTTCTTCACCCCGCCCGCGTTCAGCCTCGGCTTCGTCTTCGTCTTCGTCCCCGCGCCGCCGCCCTCCGCGCCGCCGCCGCCCTCCGCGGCTCTCAACCCCAACGCGACCTCCTCGACGTACGAGCGGAATCGCGCGTACGTCCACATCGGCGACCCGGCGCCGACGGAGAGCTTCAGCTTCTCGGGGACGGCGTCGGAGCTTCGCATCGCGTCGACGTCGCGCTCGGCGGCGCACGCGCGTCGAGGACCGATCGGGCGGCCGCTCGCGGCAGCCTCGGCGGCGGCATCTGTGGACGACGCCGCGAGCGGCGGGCGCTCGCGCCGGCGCGCGTCCTCCGCGGCGAGAAACGCGCGAAGGATGTCGTCCAGGAGGACGGAGTCGCCTCCGACGTTTTCGGTGCCGCGTTCGTCGTCGCCGTCGTCGTCGTCGCGTCCGCCGCCGTCTTTTCCGCCGTCGCGAATCAACCGCCGCTGCAACGGATCCAACCACACGTCTTTATACGCCTCCTCCTGCGCGCGGAGAGACCGCGACATGAAGCTCGACACGAGCGCGTTCCGCGCGAGATCGCTCGCGCCGAACGTCACCCCCGGGGACGGGTTCCACAACACCGCGCCCGCGGCGAACAGCGTCTTCTCTTGGAGCCACTGAAGGGCGTTCCGTGCGAAATATGTTCAGTTCGTCGGTCAGTCGAACGGGGACGCGATCAAATGTTGAAACCGAGCGGTGGGTGAAATATAAAGTTCGCGCAGAACGCACCTGAAACATCTGCGCGAGGTCGACGTCGTCGCCTCTGACTTCGATGAACACGAGATGCGACTCGTCGAGCAGCGCGGTCGCGGCGGCGGCGAGCCGCGCGCCCGCGCCCGCGAGCGGCGCGAGGAGCTCGCGCGCGAGCGCGTCCAGCGTTCGCTTCGCGCGGCCGAGGGGCGTCCCTCGCAGCGCCGCGGACTGCGGCGGCGGGACGGAGGACGCGGCAGGTCCCGCCGCCGCCGCCGCCGCCGGCGCCGAGACCGCGCCGGCGACGACGCACTCGAAGAACGCCGCGCGGTCGACGAACGACGGCAGGAGCGTCGTCGCGAACGGCGGCTTCGAACCCTCCGCGAGAGGAGGGAACGGCGACGGCGCGGGGGAAGACGGAACGTCAACCGTCGCGGCGGCGGCGGCGGCGGCGGCGGCGCTCGCGATCCACTCTCTCGCGGCGTTCGCGTCGCGGTACAACGCCGCGTCGACGCGGTCCGCCACCTCTCTCGCCGCCGGGTCCGAGCCCGGCAGCGTCGCCGCGGCGTCGCGCAGCGCCGCGAGCGCGAGCTGCGTCGTCGTGCATCGCTGCTGCCCGTCCAAGCACAGCAACGTGGACGCTCCCACGTCGTCGTCGTCGCCGTCGTCGTCGCCGTCGTCGTCGCCGCGGACGCGTCTGAACAGGCACCTCCCCGACGCGTGCGAGCCCGAGCCCTTCGTCCTCCCCTCGCGCAGCGCGGCGTCGCTCCACCACCCGCGCACTTGCTCGTCGCTCCAGCAGTACGTGCGCTGGAACACGGGCACGGCGATCGCCGGCGGCGCTCGACGACGAATTTCGACTCCGCCGTCGCCGTCGCCGCCGCCGCCGTCGCCGCCGCCGCCGTTTCCTCCTCCTTCGACGTCCTCCGCCGCGGCGTGCGCGCCGGCGAAGAGCGCGCCGTAGCTCATCGGCTCCACGCGCAGGTCCGCGTCGCGGTCTGAGGGGCGGGCGGCGGAGGGACGGAACGTCAGATCGACGACGAGGGCCGCCGCGGCGACGACGACGACGCGAGCAGAGGCGCGGAACGAAAAAACAACAACGGACGTGCCGACCGAGCATCGGGGACGCGCCAGAGAGCCCTGGACAGCTGTCCAGGAACGCGCGCGGGGCGCTCGCGGACGTCGCGGACGGCGCGTCGCCGCCGAGCGCGGACGTCCGCCGCGGACGCGACGTCGCGCGCTCCCCCGGCGGCGGCGGCTTCCACGGCGCCGTCGTCGTCGTCGTCGCCGTCCGTCGCTGCCGCGAGGATCTGATGGCGCTCGATCCTCCTCCGCCTCCCATCGCCCACGGCGCCATCGTCGTGATCTTGGGCTTCTCGCGCGCCGACGTCGCGGTCGCGGCGACGCGAGGGTGCGGTCGCGACGGGAGGGGGGCGGGGGCGTCGTCGTCCATGACGCCGCGCCGCGCCGCGCCGCCCGCGTCCGGTCCGACGAAATGGTGGGCGAGAAGACGCGCCACTGATGAAAAGCGAGTCGGCGCGAGCGCGATGAGGCGGCGGTGAGGTCGGCGCGCGGCGGCTGATGAATGAAGCAGAGTGCCGCTGCGCGCGGGCGCAGTCGGCGGGTCAAGCGCACGCGGCGCGCGCGAGAACGGCGGACGCCCTCGATTCGGCCGGCTTCGTCACGCGGGCGCGAGAGGAGGCGCGCGAGCGCATCGCGCGCGGGAGCGGACGGGGCGCGCGCGCGGACCCGTCGCGTCGGCGTGTCGGGGATTTCGTTAACCTTAGGGCAGGAATCATCGTAGTCGGCGCGGTAGTTAACTATCGCGGCGCGGTCGGGGCAGGCGGCGGCTCGTTCTCCGTCCTCCTCCGTCCGCGCTCGCGCCCGTCGTCGTCATGGCGGAGCACCCGCTCGCGGACGAGGACGTCACGTACCGCATCGGCGCGGTCGACAGGGACGACCCGCGCGTCGGCGGCGCGTCCCATCGTACGTTCCCGATCCCTCCGCCGAATCGCGGCGACGACGACGACGACGACGGCTTCCACGGCGCGGTCCCGGAATGCCTCAGAGGCCCGCGGGATAAGCTCGCCGCGCCGGTGAACACGCTGGAGGACAAGTTCGAGCTCCTCCCCGCGTTCCTCAAGGTGCGAGGACTCGTCCGGCAGCACATCGACTCCTTCAACTACCTCATCAACGAGGAGATCCGAAAGATCATCCGCGCCAAGGCGAACGAACGCGTGACGTGCGACACGGACCCCAGCTTCTATCTCCGGTACACGAACATCCACGTCGGGAAGCCGTGCGTGGAGGAGGACTACATCGTGGAGGACATAACGCCGCAGCAGTGTCGGTTACGCGACATGACGTACGCGGCGCCCGTCACCGTGGACGCGGAGTACACGCGAGGGAAGGAGATCGTCACGCGTAAGACGAACGAGCAGGGCGTCGGCGGGATCACGATCGGACGCATACCGCTCATGTTGCGATCGAGCCGGTGCGTGCTGACGGGCAAGAGCGAAGACGAGCTCGCGCGCCTCGGCGAGTGCCCGCTCGACCCGGGCGGGTACTTCGTCGTCAAGGGGGTGGAGAAAGTGGTGCTCATTCAAGAGCAGCTCTCGAAGAACCGGATCATCATCGACGTGGACGCGAAGGGCGAGATCGGCGCGTCCGTCACGAGCAGCACGCACGAGAGGAAGAGTAAGACGAACATCGTGGTGAAGCACGGGAAGTTGTACCTGCGGCACAACACGTTCGTTGAGGACGTGCCGATCTTAGTCGCGCTCAAGGCGATGGGCACGGAGAGCGATCAGGAAGTCGTCCAGGTGCGATACGATCCAATACGATACGATACGATCCGATACGATCCGATCGTTCTTTCTTCGCGCGATTGGATTGATTCTCGACCACTCGATGTCTTACTACATCATCGAAAACTGACCAATCACACCCTCCTTTTTCCACGCGCCGCGTCGTCGTATCGTATCAGCTCGTCGGCCCGGACCCGGCGTACGCGAACCTCCTGATCCCGTCGTTGCAGGAGTGCAGCGCGCTCGCGATATTCACGCAGCAGCAAGCCTTGGAGTACTGCGGCGCGAAGGTCCGGACGCAGAGCCGCATGGGGGGGTACCAATACGGTCGCAATCGACGAAACAGAGTAGACGAAGCGCGGGACATACTCGCAGGCGTCGTCCTCGCGCACGTGCCGGTGGTGGCGTACGACTTTCGGGGTAAATGCGCATACGTCGCGGTGATGATTCGCCGGATACTCCACGCGATGATAGACCGCACGCAGATCGACGACAAAGACTACTACGGAAACAAGCGTCTCGAGCTCGCGGGGCAGCTGCTCGCGCTGCTGTTCGAGGACTGCTTCAAGCGTTTAAACGCGGATTTGAAACGGCAAGCGGACGCGGTGTTGTCAAAGAGCAACCGCGCGACGCAGTTCGACATCATAAAGTGCATCCGGCAAGACACGCTGTCGAACGGCTTAGAGCACGCGATCAGCAGCGGAAACTGGACGGTGAAGCGGTTTCGCATGGAGCGGAAGGGCGTGACGCAAGTCCTGAGTCGCTTATCGTTCATAAGCGCGTTGGGGATGATGACGAGGATTACGAGCCAGTTTGAAAAGACGCGGAAAGTCTCCGGCCCGCGCGCGCTGCAGCCGTCGCAGTGGGGCATGCTCTGCCCGAGCGACACCCCGGAGGGGGAGTCGTGCGGGCTCGTGAAAAACCTCGCGCTCATGACGCACGTCACCACGGACGACGAGGAGGAGCCCCTGCGGAAGCTCGCGTTCACGCTGGGCACGCAGCCGTTGTCGTTGATTTGCGGCGCGGAGTTGCACGCGCCGGGCGGCGCCATCGTGTTCCTCAACGGGTCCATCCTGGGCGTTCACAGCGCGCCGGATCGCTTCGCGCGCGACATGCGGTACCTGCGTCGAATCGGGAAAGTCGGCGAGTTCGTCAGCGTGCACACGACGCAGGGCGGTCGTCTGTACATCGCGAGCGACGGCGGGAGAGTGTGCCGGCCGCTTTTGATCGTCGCGGACGGCGAGCCACTCGCGACGCGTGAACACCTGGACGAGCTCAAGGCGGGACGGTGGGGGTTCAACGACTTCCTCAAGCGCGGGCTCGTGGAGTACCTCGACGTGAACGAGGAGAACATCTCGTACATCGCGCTGTACGAGAACGAGATCACGAGAGACCACACGCATCTGGAGATTGAGCCGTTCACGATGCTCGGCGTGTGCGCGGGAATCATACCGTATCCGCACCACAACCAGTCGCCGCGTAACACGTACCAGTGCGCGATGGGGAAGCAAGCGATGGGGAACATCGCGTTTAACCAGCTGAACCGAATGGACACGCTGATGTACCTTCTCGTGTACCCGCAGAAGCCGATCGTGAAGACGAAGACGATCGAGTTAATCGGGTACGACAGGTTGGGCGCCGGGCAAAACGCCACCGTCGCGGTGATGTCGTACAGCGGATACGACATCGAAGACGCCATCGTCATGAACAAGGCGAGCTTAGACCGGGGTTTCGGGCGGTGCATCGTGCTTCGAAAGTACGCGACGCAGGTGAAGAAGTACTCCAACCGCACGATGGACCGGATCGTCGCGCCGACGGAGTCGCAGGCGGGGCCGACGGGGCGCCACCGGCTGTTGGACAGAGACGGCATCGCGTCCGTGGGCACGCTGATAAACCCCGGAGACGTCTACGTGAACAAGCAGAGCCCCTCGAACACGCGCGATCCGCTGCCGAACCCGCACGCGATGCCGGACACCTTCTACAGACCGACGCCGCAGAGCTACAAGGGGCCGCAGGGCGAGAGCTGCGTCGTGGATAAGGTCATGCTGACGATGACGGACGAGGGCGTGTTCAACGTCAAGTGCCTCGTCCGACACACGCGCCGGCCGGAGGTTGGCGATAAGTTTTCGTCGCGGCACGGACAGAAGGGCGTCATCGGGACCATCTTACCGCAGCGAGACTTCCCGTTCAGCGAGCGCGGGATCACGCCGGACCTCATCATGAACCCGCACGGGTTCCCGTCGCGGATGACGGTGGGGAAGATGTTGGAACTCGTCGGCGGGAAAGCCGGCGCGCAGGACGGGCGGTTCCACGACGGCACTGCGTTCGCGGGAGACACCGCGGAGGACATCGGCGCGACGCTCGTGAACCACGGGTTCTCGTACAACGGCAAGGACCTGCTGCACTGCGGGATCACCGGCGAGCCGCTCGTGGCGTACATCTTCATGGGTCCGGTGTACTACCAGAAGCTCAAGCACATGGTGCTGGATAAGATGCACGCGCGCGCGAGAGGCCCGAGGGTGGTGTTGACGAGGCAACCCACGGAGGGTCGCGCGCGCGATGGCGGCCTGCGGCTCGGCGAGATGGAGCGCGACTGCCTCATCGGCTACGGCGCGAGCGCGCTCATCCTCGAGCGGCTGATGATCTCCAGCGATCAGTTCGAAGCGCAGGTGTGCAACAAGTGCGGCTTGCTCGCGTACAGGCACCACGGCACCGGGAAAGACGCGTGCGCGCAGTGCGAGGACGCCGACGTGAGCGCGCTGAAGCTGCCGTACGCGTGCAAGCTGTTGTTTCAGGAGCTGCAGAGCATGAACATATGCCCGCGGTTGACGCTGAGTGACGCGTGATGAACGACGGGAGGGACGGCGGGCGGGTGGGTGGGGGGAGAAGGAAGACGCGCGGGTAGCGAGAGTTGTTAGACGACAATATTTCGGTTCGTTCGATCGCGTGCGCGCAGATAGCAGAGCTGATGAGCTCAGGCCCGCGCCCGCCTTTTGAACGAGTCCTTCCGTCCTTCGACGACGCGCGTCACTCGCGATCGCGCGGACGGTCGATCGCGCGCAGCAGCTCAGCTCGCACACGCGCGCGATGTTCGGCGGCGGTTCCACGGTGCGTCTCTCGTCCGCGAACGACGTCCGTCGCGTCCTCCGCGCGCGATCGTGCTCGCGTCGTCGTCCGTCGATCGTTCGGATGTATTCGACCACGATCAATTCATCCACCGCGAGATCCGCCCTGCTCCCTCCGTCGTCGTCGTCGCCCTCCCCCTGACGCCGTCCGTCTCCTCCGCTTCCTCTCTCTCTCTCTCCGCGCCACGCAGCCCTCGTTCGGGTTCGGCGCGCCCGCGGCGACGGGCGCGGCCCCCGCGTTCGGCGCCGCGACCCCCGCGGCGGGCGCGGCGCCCGCGTTCGGCGCCCCCGCGACGCCCGCCACCGCCGGCGGGTTCAGCTTCGGAGGCGGCGCGGCGGCGGCGCCCGCGACGGGCGGGGGGCTCTCCTTCGGCGCGCCCGCGCCCGCGGCGTCGACGCCGTCGCTGTTCGGCGCCGCCGCCGCGCCCGCGCCCGCGCCCGCGGCCGGCGGCGGCGGGCTCTTCGGCGCGGCGGCGACGCCGTCGCCGTCGTTGGGGGGGGCATTCGGGGCGTCGTCGAACCTCTCCGCGCTCGCGAGCGTCGCCTCCGCGGCGGCGACGCCCGCGACGGGCGGGGGGCTCTCTTTCGGCGCGCCCGCGCCCGCGGCGTCGACGCCGTCGCTGTTCGGCGGCGGCGGCGCCGCGCCCACCGCGGCGGCGGCGGGGGGATTCAGTTTCGGCGGAGCCCCCGCGGCGGCGGCGCCCGCCGCCGCCGCCGCCGCCGCCGCGCCCGCGGCGGGAGGGTTCAGCTTCGGCGGCGCGCCCGCGACGACGGCCCCGGCCGCGGGGATCGCGTTCGGCGCCTCCGCGGCCGCGCCCGCGACGGGCGGCGGCGGATTATCTTTCGGCGCGGCGGCGACGACGACGACGGCGACCGCGACGCCCGCGCCCGCGGCGACCGGCGGCGGGCTGTTCGGTGCCGCCGCGGCGACTGCCGCCCCCGCGGCGACCGGTGGTCTGAGCTTCGGGACGAGCGCGCCGGCGACGGCGACGACGGCGCCCGCGGCTGGCGGGTTTTCATTCGGCGGCGCGGCGACGGCGGCGCCCGCGGCTTCCGCGCCCGCGGCTTCCTCCGCGGCGGCGGCGGCGGCGGCTTCCTCCGCCGCGCCCGCGATGCCCGGGTCGTCCTCTTTCGCGTTCGGGTCCTCCGCGCCGGCCTCGACCGCGGCGGCGGCGGCGTCCGCGGCGGCGAGCGCGGACGCGACGGCCGGCGGCGGCGGGTTCTCGTTCGGGAACGCCGCCGCGGCTTCGACCGCGACGACGGCGGCGCCCGCGACGACGGCGCCCGCGACGACAGCGGCGGGGTTCTCTTTCGCGACGCCCGCGCCCGCGACGACCGGCACCGCGGCGGCGACGACGGCGCCGGCGACGAGCCTCTTCGGGGGACCTTCGACGCCCGCGGCGGCGGCGGGAACGACCGCCGCGGGAACGACCGCCGCGGGAACGACCGCCGCGGGAACGACCGCCGCGGGAACGACCGCCGCGGGAACGACCGCCGCCGCCGCCGCGACGACGCCGACGGCTCTGGCGACGACGACGACGACGCCGCCCGGCGCGAACGCGGACCTTCGCGCGGCCGGCCCGTCCCAGCTCACCACGAAGATGGGCCTCAGCGCGCACCTCCAACGCCTCGCGAGGATGCCCACGACGCTCGTCCCGGACCGAGAGATCGCCGCCGTCGCGCGCGCCTACGCGGCGCACCCGGAGAACCCCGAGTACCGCTTCAGAGCCTTCTTCAACAACATCCTCGAGGACCCTAACAGGCGCGTGCGTCCGCCCGGTGTGGACGAGCCGCACTGGCGCAAACTCCTGAACGACGTCGGCGGCGAACACAACCCCGACGGGCTCTGGCCGGTCCCGCACGACGGCTTCAAGGCGCTCGCGGAGCGCGCGAGGATGCAAGACGAACGACTGAAAAACGAGCGCGATTTCGTCGACGCCGTGCAAGCCGACGTCCGGCGGATGAACCGGTTCCGCGGCGCGCAGCTCGCGGAGCGCGTGTCGCAGGTGGTCAAGACGCACGCGGAGCAGCAGCACCGGATGCTGCGCGTGATGCACAAGCTCGAGGCGCTGGAGGCGCGGTACCACGCGAGTCAGGGCGGCGCTTCCGCGGCGGGCGTCGCGACGACGTCGGCGGCGGATGAAGAGCGCGAGCGCGAGCTCGCCGCGCGGCTGCGACGGCTTCAGGGCGCGCTGAACCGCTCCGCGACGTCGCTGCCGCGGAGGGTGGACGCGTTGGGCGCGGCGCGGAGGGCGGAGCAGATCGCGGACGCGTCCAGGGCGGCGGGAGGAGGAGGGGGCGGGGGGGGTTTTGA